AAATATGATTTAACAACCAGGCCATGTCATCATTAGACTATTGTAGTCAATACATCCATAACTGCTTAAAAATAATAGGTAATTCCCCCTCTCCCATCTCACTGTGGTTTGCACTAACCTCCTGCCTGTTATTAATGAGTTATTAATGAGACTCATCAGGAAGAAATGTAATCCAAGCTTGAGAAAACAAGTAAGGGTGTTTGTAGTCTTTTTTCTGAGTTTATTATTATTATCATAATGCACAGTATAGCATCAACTGTTACACACAATTAAGCAAAGCACAAAACTGTGACTTCATTCTTTGTTCACAACTCTTATTACAGAGAAAGGGATATAACTGGTAAGGACCTTACAGTCTCCCCACAGCCTACTTTTCTAAACAACAGCAACAGTGCTGTAGCAGTTAATTTGATATTTAAATAATTTCTTGCAAAGTGACTACTCTGGTTCAGTGTTTAGTTCTGTCACAGGTGCTGGAACGTTTTTAGTTCAAGTTCTGATCTTTTGACTAATAAAGGCACATTCAGTTGTTCCTTTATTTACCAGAGGTGACCACAGTAGGTAGCTCCACATGGTGGAATGTTTACGCCAAACTCACAGATGCAAACTAAGAGGGATTTGTGTCTCTTCCTTTTGCTTTTTAGACAAAAGTGTTACCCACTTATCTATTGGTGGCTCTGATCTTTGTGGTTTATGTCTTGAGCATTTTATCAGTTTCCCCCTTTACCTGTTCAAATTAGCAAAATATGTATTACATAATTATTGTGCATTGTGCACAAGGGCGTTTTTCGTACATAGATAACTGGTAATCTCTCAATCTACCCAAAACATGCCAATAGGTAGCTTAGAAACAATCAAAAGACAATTAAATGTGCCCAATACATCATAAAAAGATGAATTGTTAAATTACATAATAGCAGTCTAGTACACTGAAAAGACCAGTAGCCTTTAGTTTACTGCTGTTTGTTCTAGGAACTACGACGAAGAGATAAACAAATGGTACTAATATCAAGCGGCAAACTTTAATGAATACAAAATGCTTACAAGCGGTTTTGCTACACCACATCCAAATAATAAATAAATAAATAAATAAAATGCTTGTTTTATATTAGTAAGATAACGTTTATGAAAACATTTAACTGAATAAGTTAAAAATTACGTCAGAGTCTATTCAGTGCTTTCATACCTTTTGGGGGGGGGGGCAAAGAAAAGGTATTGGAACCGGAGAAAGAACGTTTTGCGGAGCTGCAAATGCCTGCATTTGATGCGGTACTTGGATTGTTTTGCCTCGAGTTCCCGGCATGCAATGCGCGAGAGTCAGAGGTGAGTTCAGAGGTTAGCTTATTTGGTAATGTTGTTATGTACCCAGCTGCTGAGGTGTGTGTTATCTGTTCATTATTGTAACAGCTGTTGCTCTTTGAGACTTCTGTTACATAAAAATAGTGCATGAATGTGCTATCGCTTGATTATTTGATTCGTTTTGCACTTTTACACATTTGTTTTGATCGGTGATAACTTCGACATGCTAATGCTAGCTGTGTAGCTACGTAGCTTGGTGAGAAGTCTCCTAAATGTCATGTTGTATCGAAACCTGACCTTGTAGTAGCAGTGAGCTGGAAGGCGACTAGAATGGCTTCTGCCAGAGCTATGACATCAACCAGGCTTCTGTGTTTATTCAATGCGACAGCAGCAGGGTCCATCAAAACATTAGCCAGGACAGGGTGCAAAGTGTGTCACAGAAGAAATATGAGCAGTTCACCTTCAAGGCTGCAGGGCTGCATGTCAGCATGGATCATTGATCAGTATGGCAGTAATGGTGTTCTGAAGTACACAGAAGAAATCACCGTTCCCACGATTTGTTCTGCCACTGAGGTGATGATTAAAGTCCATGCAGTTAGTCTCAACCCCCTTGATGTAGCTATGAGGGGTAAGTGCTGCTAACCCAAATTAATAATTAACAAAGAAACTAATAACTTACATCAATAAGCCAAGTAAATTCTCAATTTCAGGTGGCTATGGGGCTAAACTGCTGAAGTTAAGAAGAGATCCATTATCTGTGATGGACAATGACAATGAGTTCCCTCTCATTCTTGGTCGTGATTTGTCTGGTGTAGTAGTGGACTGTGGATCTGGGGTTACCCATTTTGCCCTGGGAGATGAGGTAGGTTCTGCACTGCACAATCATCTTTTAAAAGATGTACTAGAAGTTAGTGACAATACAATGTCTTGTGGGAACTACTTTAGCGGAAATGCCTAAGCTGTTATTATAGCTGCATTCATTGCATCGATGTTAAAGTTAGTGTTTAGTGCTCTTTATTGACATCCTCTTAAGGAATATTAGAAACACATCTAAACGCATTATATTACAACATCAGCAGCAGCTACAAGCTTTCTCACATTGTTAGTGAAAATTTACCATATTCTCATATTGTACTCTAGTGCCTCTTCTATTCATTTGGAATGCATTAAGTTGTACATGTGCACTTAAAAAGTGACTTCGTAATATCAATTCACCAGATACTTTATTAGTTGCTATTTTGTTGTTAATGCTTGGTTAGAACCTATTTTGCATTCAGAACTACCTTCATTCTTTGTGGCATAAATTCAAGAAGGTGATGGAAACATTTCTTGGAAGATTTTGGTCCATATTGACTTGGACAGTTGTTGCAGATTTGTCAACTGCACATTCATGATGTGAATCTCCCGTTCCACCACGTCCCAAAAGTTCACTATTGGATTGTAGGGCAATTGAGAACACTTGTCCTTTTCAAGAAACCAGTTTGATGTGAGCTTTCTGACATGGTGTTATCCTGCTGGGAGGGATCAGCATGGTCAGCAACAGTACTCAGACAGACTGTGACATCTAAATGATGCTCGGTTGGTACTAAGGGGTCCAAGTGTGCCAAGAAAATATCCCCCACACTATTATGCCACCACCACCAGCCTGAACATTTGATACAAGGCAAGATGCATACATGCATTTATCTTCTTTTCACCAAATTCTGACCCTACAATCTGAATGCCACAGTAGAAATCTAGACTCATCTGACCAGGCAACTTGTTTCTAATCTAATGGCAACTGGTGTGGTCTTCCACTGCTGCTGTAGCTGACTTGCATCAAGGTTCATTATATTGCACATTCAGAGATGCTCCTCTGAATTCCTTGGTTGTAACAAGTGGTGATTTGAGTTACTTTTGCCTTCCTATCAGTTTTAACCAGTCTGGCCATTCTTTGACATCAATAGGGACTTTTTGACCAGAGAACTGATGCTCACTGAAAAATGTCTCTTTTTCAGTCAATTCTTTGTATACCCAAGAGATGGTTGAGTGGGAAAATCCCAATAGATAATTTGTGTCTGAAATGCTTAGACCAGTTCATCTGGCATCAACAACCAGGTCATATCCAAAGTCCATTAAATTATCCTTTCGAACTTCATCAGGTTGTCTACATGCATAAATGCACTGATATGCTGCTCCCATGGATCATATGGCTGCTTGATTAGCTATATGCTTTAACAAGCAATTGATCTGGTGTACCATGCAAAGTAGCCAATAAGTGTCTATTAGTGATCAATTGACAAACTGAAAAATAACTAGACAGGATGATCTTTTTAATATTTTGTCAGATTCAAATGCAATTTGAAATTGAGTAGATGACTGTAAAAGAAAGTGCACAAAGCAAGCAAAATGCTTTGTTTGTTCTTGTACATTTATAATATATTATTTGCATAATAATATAGTCACGATATTCATAGACATATGGACTGAGGGTCCAAGTCATAAAGACTGGGCACCCTTGATTTTATATGATTTTATGTGGAGTGATAGATACCATATTAAAAATGCAAAGGCAAATTTGCTGATATTACACAATTTTTCTAAAGTTAAATATGGTTATATTGCTTAGCCCACTTACATGCACCTCCATAGTTAAGTCATTCAGAGACATTTTCTTGTTGGAAAGATCAAGTGCTTTCTGCTTGGTTTCCCAGTCAGTGTGACTCATAATAATTTGAGACCTTCAACCCTGCTGTCTCCCACATATCTACATTACTGTCTTCCTGCAGAGAGAAATGCAATTATGCAAATCTGGCTTAAAGTGAATGTAATTAAATCACTGAACAATACACCAGTAAATTTTCCACATGCACTATTCTAGTAATTGTATTTCACCAGTATAAAAATATCTTTGGAAACGTCTAATGATGAGAAAGGACAGGAGCAGTTGTGTGAGACCCTAATAACTGATTAACCAGATTCAGAGAGTGAGAGTAGGTGGTTAATTTGAGTTGTGTTCCGCATGTTAAATGTCATATTTGTCTTCAGGTGTGGGCTGCTGTTCCCCCATGGAAACAAGGCAGCCTGGCTGAATATGTGACTCTAACAGAGTACGAGGTGAGCAGAGTCTGTGCAGCAGTTGGATGGCGGTGCATTTTCAGAATTAACTGTGAATAATTTAACTAGTGTCTACACAAAGACTGAGATTAAAGTAATTTTATTGTCAGTTTGTTTTTAAACTAATGGAAAAAGTTAATTGAGAACCCTTATTTAAACTGTAAAATACATTAAACAAAAGTTCGGAAGAAGCGAACCCTGTTTAGTAATCCTTCGCTGTAAAATGTAATTAGGATTAAGTTTGTTTGTTAGCTGTAGCTGCCGTGGCACCAATTAAAGGGACATACAAATTGCCCTGTGTTTTCTTGCTGCATTGAACTTCATTTATTCTCCGACTCTGGCTGTCTGCCCTCGCAGTAGCTGTGCTGATTAGACACAGCCTCAAAGTTTATAAATGTAAAATATTGCTTACAAGCGAATGCAATTCTAACATTGTTAACACCCTCTGTGTGGCTGATTTTTGCAGGTTTCCCATAAGCCAAAAGTACTGAGCCACATAGAGGCAGCATCCATTCCCTATGTTGCCAACACGTCTCTGTCTGCACTTGTCAATGGAGGTGGTCTTTGCAGAGACAGTTCTTCAAATAAAAGGCAAGAATCAGCCTGATCCAAAATAATTTTATGTTGAGCTCATTTCACCCTGTTGCCATGTATACTTGTTTTTTAAAAAAACATTAAAAAAGTGTTAAGCCCCTGAATGCTATAAAAGATTTAATAATGTCTTTAGTTTGTGACTTGGAGAATTGAATATGCTCTTTTCTTGTTGAGAAATCAGTCCGGTCATGTCGACTCAGAATGTAACGAAACCCGTTTCAACGCTTTCATTTCATTTTAATTGGCAACAAGAGTTTTAAAATAACACATTTAACCTGCAAACGTCAAAACATTTAACCTAACCCGAATTTTAATAGAACTTCCTCTTTTCCTCTAACGTAATAGCTTCCAATCCTGCAAATCCCTTTGTACCCCCTGAGGCTTCCACTTCTTTTCGTAGCTTTGCATAAATGAGTCACACAGTAATTGAATGACCCTCTTGTTGCTGGGGTTTCTCCTCCTAGAGTTTTAATCACTGGAGGATCAGGAGGTGTTGGAACATTTGCTATTCAGGTAAGACAGAGTGTCTTCGTTTGGCTATGCCTGTATGTATATTTCTGCCTTTTAAACCCTGACAAAGTAAGATCCCTTGCTGTGTGCATACTCTCTGTTTTTTATCCTTTATGTTTCACCAGCTGTTGAAGGCTTGGGGTGCCCACGTAACGGTCACCTGCTCTCAGAACGCCGTGGGTCTTGTTAGAGGGCTGGGAGCTGATGAGGTGCTGGACTACACAGCAGGAGATGTGGTTGAACAACTAGAAATGATGGAGAAGTAAGAGCTGCAGTGTTTGGACTGTATACATTGAAACCTGTGTGGTTACATTGTACTGTGTTTAAAGAAACGCTGGAGCAAAATGTTGCTCACTGGTCCCAATGCTGGTGTTTACTGAAGTATCATTAGAGTCTGTGCCAATCCAGTGAATGTGTTAATTAAAAAGGACTCCTCTAGATTTGCTAAATTTGGTGTGTTTCGCCCTTTAAACACCCAAATGTGGTAAACATATTCCTATCAGCTTGGCACACCTGTTCGCTGACTGCTTTCTAGTTTCCATGGAAACCACGGCTTAAGGTCTGAGTGGATGATGGTTCATTTATTTTCCTGCCCCAAAAACAAAATTGGTAGTCCTTGGTTTGGTTTCTTAGAATTCCAGCTAAGGGCTAAACCAGCACAGTGCATAGTGTACTGACATAGGATAATTTGTTTTGAAAAAGTTAATTTTGTTTTTGTTTTGTTTTGTTTTTAACCACATTTCCAGCAAGATGTTTACAAGATTGTCTGTCTCTTTTTCCACCTCAAGGTTTGACGTTGTTTTTGACGGCGTGGGTGGGGACACAGAGGAGTGGGCGATGGGGCTGCTAAAGCCCTGGTCTGGTGCAAAATACGTCACACTGGTAACACCTTTACTTCTCAACACCGACTCTATGGGCCTATTGGATGGTACATTGAATGCGTGGTTCTCTCTGCAGAGCAAGGCCATTCAGGTAAACACCAGTAAAACTGACTTTTGATTCAAACAAAAGTGGATGTACACAAAAAAAGCTTCCATTGAGGTTGTTTATTTTTGTAACACGGACTGAGGTTTGTTTTTCTCACTAAGGCATTATTCTGGGTGTGGCCTGCCAGTGCTTCCAAATTGAAATGTCATATTTGATCCTCAGTGGCATGGAAAGAAGACATGGATATTTCTTTTCCATTCAGTTGATTATATGGATTGGAGCTGAGGTGACACAGGGAGGGGGAAAAGTCAAGTGATGACTTGACTGAGCGTCACAGTAAATTCTTGCACTGCCTGTATTTTTTCTTATGTTTGTATGTGGTGTGTGCAGGTGAAGATGGAATAGCATTAACAGTTTGAGTCCCTGCATGCGTGTTAGGTTTGTGGTGTTGTGTTTCCCTAATAGCTGGTGTTCATGTCATGAAGATCATGGCCGAACAGACGAGGGCAGGGTGGACAGGGTGCTCTAGGGACTGAGTGAACTTGTCCTGGGCAGGGTAGGCACTGGTGACAGCACAGCTGGCAGCGTTAGAATGGATGAGACAGTGTGTGTGTGTGCGTGCATGTGTTTGCTGCTGAACCAGCAGTATTTGGTGTTTGTTCAGATTGTGGCCAACCATTTCCCCCCCTCCCGGCAAATACCACTGTTTGTGTGTTTCTTGCCAAGCCTCCGAGGCCTTTTGTCCATGGGAGCAGCCAGCTGGTCACTTTGGCGAGGCTCCGCTGCATCAGTCACACCCTCGGTGCCCAACGCTGGACAGCCTGCCGTTTTTATCTGTGCAACTGAGCCCTCTAGTGTCAAACTAGAGCTGCACTGAACAATCATGAACTGTCTGGTTTTTAACAAGCAAGTCAGGGTGGTTTTACCAGAGCAGTTTTACATAATAACACAATATTATCAAGTATAAAGCAAGGTTATGTTTTTGTTTTGTTGTTTTAAATGAATTATTACACCACTATTTTTATTTAGACATTTGCATCTGGAGCACCTTTTACAGACCTTTTTTCATAGCAGGCAGTCCTGGTCTTTTTCACATATAGCAGGAAAAATATTAGTGAAACAAACCATTAGTGGTTTTTCTGTTTAATTTAGATGCTCTAATAAACTAGTATGCCATCAACCAAAGTATTTGTGCTCAGAATCCTGCATCACTCAAAGAAACGTAGCTCAGATTCATGCGATATGTGATGTTCAGAGGTCCAGTTTGTGTCCGTGTGTGTAAAACTAAATACCAGCTTTCAGGTTATGTATTATCTTTTAAGAACAACACTTTAATAAATGATAATTGTATTACTAGATGTGAACAATAACACTGCTAATATAATCCAATATTCCTGTTTCTGCTCATCTCATCATCAGTTATTCATGACAGTGCGTCTGAAAATTCACAAAACCAAATCATTAATCTAAACATAAATGTTTAAATTAGGTGCTTTAACATTTTTAGTAACCTTCAGTGGTTTATTGAAAACTTATCAGGAAATTAGTGCTAATTAGTCCTTTCATACAAAATGCGGTTTCTTCCTCCTAAATCCTTATGGTGCTAATTACTGTAAGTCAGGGTAACTGCCATGTATGTTTTAGTCAGCTTAGTTGTCTTTTTTGGTTTTCTGATCCAGGTCTTAATTTTTTAAAGTACATTTTTGTACATTTTCTTTCTCTTTTTTCCTAACAGATAACGCTGTGTGGTTATTCATGTGTATGAGATGCAGACAAGCCTGACTTCTAATTACTGCCTCCCGTTTGCTTTCTTCATAGAATTTATTATCCAGTGGAGTCTTCTATAGGTGGGGATTTTATGCACCAGATGGACCTGCCCTGGACGAAGTCAGCAAGCTGGTAGATGCAGGGAAGGTACTATATGGCTTTATTATTCATATCATGCACACCTGCCTTTTAGGACCATTTGTACTGACAGAATTAGGGTGATGTCTAATTTGCAAATCCGTCACAGGCAGAGAGTTGAATTTATGCAGAGATGGAGATCATGCAACTCACTGAATATTGAACATACCATGGATTCCCTATGAGTTTGTATCCGAGGCTCCCATGTGGCTTTGTGAGGGAGTCAGAATCACATTCCTGCTATTCTGGTTGGCTGGTTGGTTGGTGTTGTGCACGGTTGGCTGCTGGGCGATTGAGTCAGGCGCCATCAGACGGTGAATGGATTTTTAAACAGTGCTGAGCAGCCATTCGCAAAAGCGTGTGGGACCTCTGTCCTTTTGTGCTGGGGCTTACAGCAAGCAGCAAACTCAGGCCAGTGGCGGGAATCTATGGCCTCCGGTGCCCCCCCCACCCCCATCTCACAAAACATACACGCACGATCTCTCTGCTCTCTCTGTCCTATTTGCAGTCAGAAGTGTGGATGGTTTCCAGTGACGCGACTGCCCTCCCCATTCATTGTTAAAGACAAAAGATGGTGACCACAATAACAAGCCTGGCTGCTTGTGTTCTGGGACTAGCGCAGGATTGTCCAGCCTCATCACATTCTAAACCCCTCCCTCACGTTTTCACTCTTGCAACTATGAAAGCAGCGATGTTGTAGCATTAGGAGTTTGTGGTTATTTGCTAGACTAAACTTTTTTGATAATGGGTTTGATTATGGGATCACTGTAATTTGCAGTGCTTTGTGACTTGCAAAAAAGCCTCTTCATTTAGATGTGAAAGTGGAAATGGTTCCAGTGCTGTTAAGTTTGGACAGTTACTCATTTTGTCTGGTTTGCTGCTCTTAATGCATGGTGCTAACCTCACGAGTCAGATTTGCACAAGCTGCCACATTCATGACAGACTGTCAGTACTTATTCTGGTGGGGGGTTTTTAAGCGCCATTAAAACAAAAGCCAAAACTAATTTTCATAATCAATTGAACTCCTGCCTAAATGTGTAAATCTGATCTTTTAATTATTTCAAATTTCTGCTGCTCTGTCACAGATCTTGCCTGTTGTGGAGGCCCAGTTCTCATTTACTCAGGTGCCTCAGGCTTTTCAGAAGCTCGAGAAGGGCCACGCCAGAGGGAAGACGGTAGTCAGGGTGGCTGAAGAGGACGATAGACAGACTGAAGAGCTGGTGCAGGACAGCAGCACGGAGACAGTAGAGTCAGTGCAAGAAACAGCCAAGCAAAGCTAAGTAGAGGAAAGCAGGTGCCTAGAGAGTTTCTGTTATGATCCTTTTCACCTCCCCTTCACCATCAGCAGAGTGAGAGGTAGTCTGTTTTGTAGCAGACTGCAGTCGTGACCTGCGCTTGTAATTAGAAGATACCAGAAGTTGTATCTCTTGTTAACGAGCCTTCTGTGATGTACTCAAAGTTTTCAAAGTTCTCAAGTCGTGCTGTGTTCATCATGGTGAAATTACCAATGTTACCAGCTAAATGCTTCTCATGTCAACCATGCAGCTGGATATGGTTACCAGACTTTTGGTAATTAGCTGGCTGGTACAACATTGTATAAAAAAGCTTTTCTGTTACAAATGTGGAAGAAACTATTTGTTTTTCTTTCTTGGTTTAGTTACCCACCACTACCTTGTATGTGAAATTATGTGGACATCCTGTAAAGCTACATGATCTGAAAGGAATATATCAGTGTAACTTTCGGGGAACAACAAACAGATCTGAAATGTTTTGTTCTTTGCATGTCCATTCCACTCAACTGTGCACTGTTTGAGGAGTTCATTGACAAAAATAGTTTTATTATATTGAAAAGAAAAAAGTTCTATGTTGAATAGTTTTGATTAAACAAAAATAAAATACATGATATTTGTTTCCTTGTGTTGCATGCAGCTGGAAAAAAGCAATATGTACTAAATAACAGCACATTTCATTAAAAGAAAATCCAAAAAAAGTTTTAACACTGTTTTAAGTTAATAAAAATAATGCAAAAACAGATTTGTTCAATGGAGATACAGCTCAAAAAGTTTGGGGTCACCTAGAAAATGTCTTGTTTTTGAATGTACAACAATATTAATTTTTTTTTTTTCTGGTAAAACATTTACTTGATCAGATACCTTGTAAATAACAATGGAACGTGGAATCATAAATCAAACAAAGGATTTTTTATGGATTATCTGCATATGTGTAGGCTAATGTACAGTCAGGCTAAAAGGCCAGTTTTTGTCTCAAGATAGCCAAAAATCACCGTACACTAAACAAGTCAAACTTTCCTGTTCTTTCAGCAGAAAGGAATCCTTAATTGCATCTTAAAACATTTCCAATCATTTAAATATTTTTTTTCTTTTAAAAGCAGGACTTTTCAAATTGACCCCAAACTGACAAACGGTGTAAGAATAACATGTTAAATATTTCAAGTCCTGAATGAACTGTTTGTTACGTAGCCATACATTCTACCAAAATCCTTAATTTCTCTCCAAGTTGACCTCTTCATCTCCCCTCTCATGGTTCCCCTGCAGCAAAATGTTGAGAACCTCCAGCGGCGTACCTCGTTTGTGAGCACTGTGTGTCACTACATTAGTGTGTCAGGGATCCAGTTCAGCAGACTTTGTTTTCATATAATCTCCACATCCCACCTTTGTTGTAGTTTACTTGCATCAGGTGTGTTCAGAATCACTTGGTTTTTGTCATAAAGATGACCACCTAAAAGAAACAGATGTTTTTATTAAGTGGATTTTGTATACATATTTTAGCATTATTCTGGTGCCTGGAAAGAGATTGTTGCATAATATTGCTTATTTAAGATGGATTAAAAGTAGAATTAAAAATGTTTTGCATATATTTAATTTCACATACAATAATGATAACTCCTACAATAGTGTTCAGTACGCCTATTGCAGGGAAAAATTCAGTCCACAAGGGGTCACTAATTGACAATGATGCAAACAAAGTGACTAGACATAAATCCCCAGTTTTATACTGGGAATATTTAACCACAGGTTTCAAAATCCTTTTATTGCCTTATGCACAGAAGTTGCATCTTTACTATCTCTTAAATGTGTATGGGAACATAGAATACTCAGTTTAAGAGCTTTAAGTGCTCAAATTAAGTAAGAAGGCACAATGTAAGTTCATTTGCCCTTTAATAATAATTGTAGCATTTGCTCCGTAGTCCATATGCAGGCAGCTTGTTGGATTTGACAAATTTCATAAGACTAGTCATGAAACCTGAATATTTAATGCATGGAAATCAAACTGAAACTTAAGTATTATGTAACTCTGACATTTGAATTCTCTGTGGGAAGCTTGTCACAGATGGTGCTTGTAGTACAAACAAGTCTTTATGTACAAATCATCTATCGGAACAATTTTACTGTTGGTGTTGTAACACTGGTGAGGCTTACCTTTGACTTCCAGGACTAGATCAGGGTTGAGAACATAGCGAATGAAGCCCTCAGGAGTGATGCTCCAGAGGTGGATTTGGTCACCTGGGTCTGGAGTGAGACCCACACGGCTTCCTGCAATTGTCACACTACCACTGGGACTTAGGCAGCACTCCTCCAAGAGCTGGAAACAGAGAGAGGAGTCAGTTAGAGATATTCAAATTACCAGCCGCTACTGTATTGTCAATGAAAAAAGGCAGAATGGTGAAAAAAATCATAGATCATATATGATCAGATATAGTGCAGAAAACACCTCTGTTTGACCTGTGGTCACTTTTCTTTAACTCTTTAACATTGTTTTGATTCTCATCTGAGATTTGACCTTAGGATCTAAGATCTTGATCTTGGTCTAAGGGCTGCTATTCATCAAGCTTTCCCTGACCTTTCTTTATCGTTTAGTTGCGTAATGAAGGTACTGTTACCTTGCAGTGTAGGCGTCCATTCTGGTAGAACCAAATCTGCTCCAAACCATCTGCTTCTTCTGTTTCTTGTATCCGTAGCAGTTTGACATCATCTAAATCCCCGGTCACCGACATCATTAGCCCCGTCTGTCTGTTCCTTAAACGGAAGTGCACTTGCTTCTGCTCGGAAAACACATACAAATAGTTGGCGCTTCTTCTCAAAACAGGATTCACAGCAAGGGAATTTCAAATCAACTCGACGTAGCTCTTAACTTTCACAACTAACAGTCAATGAATCAATGCACATGTGTGGTATCTAAAAGTGCAGCTATGAGCATTACCACCATTGAGGTGTAGTAATTTAATACTAATTGCATAGCTTTATTGTATACCTGTAAAAGAGGGCGGAGCGATCCAATTTTCTGCCAGTTGCTGTGTTTCCGCCAGTCGAGCACCTCTCCAGGCTTTAGCAAAATCTGAGCACCCCGATAGTTGATTCCCTCGTATAGCACCCACCTGATTTTTTAAGACGAGACAAAAACATAATCAAGTCTCAGATATTCAACAGCAGAAATGAAAACAACACTTCCTTATCAGCTTTTATCGCTGTCTGGGGACTGACAGTCAGTCACCATGAGTGAAAATTTGGCTTGAAAATGCCAGTCCTTGTTTTAATATATTTCAATATCCTCCTTCCTCGTGTGATAGGATATTACAGGATGCTCAAGAGAGCACAGAGACAGGCAGACATAAACAAACATGATTTTTCTATACCTGTTTTCTTTTTCTTTTCTTTTAATAGCACAAACTAGAAACCAAGCCTTTGATGCTGGTAGGTCATTGTTTTATCTTAAAAAATAGCTGAATTCTGAATCCTGGCTTCCATTCAACGCCTAGCAAAAGATAATAACACTGCTGAGTTTTATAACAGTCCAATTTTGCTTTGAGGTTAGATGTTGCTTTTCACTCGTTGCTTTATGGCTCATCTCTTCTGTAGCAAGAATGTGCCAGTCCAGAGGCAGCTCTGCCTTACTGCGAGCCCTTTATTTCCTCAGTGTTGGCTCACACCTACAGTCTAAATCTTGCACATCAGCAGCAGGTTTCCACCATCGATCCATCTGTCAGTACTGCCATTCTGCAATATTAGATGTGCTGACCCTGCACTGCATTCAATATTTCTGAATCTGCAAAATGCCATGTTATAGTCTATATGGTACGCCCAAACAAATTCTTTAACTACAGAGGGATCTTTTTGAAAAATCATCTTAGTTATACCAACAGACATCAAATAAGTACAGGTTGCACAGATAACTATGGAAATGGCACCAGAAAGTTCTGGAAATGTTTTGACATGTTGACTAAAGAGATAATAGCATCTGAATTTGAAATAAAACCAAAAGTGATTAAGAGGTGGCACTGCTGAGTAACAACAGGCCACTGTTGTGTGAGTGAAAAGTAAAGAATTTTATTTAGTGTCACGAAATATTTGGGAGCAGAGCAGAATGAACCTGTTAAACACAAACCACAGGGTATCCTTAGTAACAGCTTAGTAACGGCTGGATAACCAAACAGGTTTGAAAAGCACTCACAGGCCTCCTTCCACCAGCACAGACTGGACTCTGCCACATCCTCCGGCCAGCTGGAGGTTGACTGATCCGTCCGTTAGGACCACTCTCTTCCCACGCAGACCACATCGCTCAAAAAGAGTGATGGATGGAAGTGAGAACTCCTGCCAAGAGTGAGAGAAAGGACAAGTGCATTAACAAGCGCTGAAAGCTCCAGATCATACAGGTTGACATTAAGGTTATTTTGAAGTTACCCTGGAAACAGGCCACACACACACCTTTGTGCTCCCTGGCATTTTCACTCCCTGTTTACTGTAAAAGACAGACTGCCTTCTAAATGCACACTAATGTCATGGGTCAACGCATTTAATACTGGATGGTGATGATGTTGATGATAAGGAAAGAAATAAGCAGAAATGTGTGAATTTTTCCCTTCTGATACAACATCACCATTATTGACAGTTATATTGTTTTTATTTTAACACTTAACAGTTTTGGGATGATTCATCCATTGTTTTTTGACAAGATGTCAAAAAAGTATTAGTTTTAAAAATTTGGAAAAAATCAAAGAAAAAGATGGAGATGCAGTTTAATAAAAAAATCAAACGAATGCCAGAATTGAACAGCATTTGGGATAAAAAAACAAACAAACCATATGCCACATGACAGAGATGTGTACTTTCCACATCTGCTCAGGTCCGAGTCATTTATCATTAAAGGGTGAACCCAAAACTCCAAAAGGATGTCCAAGTGGTGTCCAACTTTAGTGCAACTGTGCAGATTACAGGCACAATTCATGCACCCTTCAGACAGACTCTCAACAAGCTTGAAAAACTACAATAGCAATGGATATTTGTCTGTGATGCCTTCAGCTGTCAATTACAAATTAGTTTTTGTAGCTTTGCAAGACCTAAATACTGATGAGAGCTAATTTAATGCTTAATCTCCTCCTTAAATAGTGTTTCAGTTCAAAAATGTATTTAATTCTAGAAAACTTAATGTCTACATCCCAGGGTTTAATGACCAAAAATAACATGTTTCAGTTTTAGGCTGGCAATCTGTAAAATGGGAGTGAGTGTTAATTTGTTAGAAGAATTAAATTATAGACTTACAAAGCCAATAGTCTGTAGTGACAGGATGGAGGAGCTTGTACTGACACAGCCCATTGATCTCAGATCTGGGTAGTTTCCCACTTCTAACACATACATCCTGCAAGTGAAGTCTTGGCCCTCAAAAGCCATCCAGCTGCAAGAATACATAAATGCAATTACACAAATATACTGACACACACACACACAAGAAGAACAAAAGCACAAAAAATGTGCCCATGAATCTGCACTGAAAATCTGCACTGAATAAGATAGATGATCATTGTGTAAACCTACCTGCACTAAAAAGATTTTCAATTTTAATACTATTCAAGCTTGAAGGTGAACAAGAGCTTTTACTGAGCTACTGAATTCTTACTTATTAATGGGCCAAAGCAAAATAGTATATTAATATTAATGATGCATTTTATAATATGTAATGCAGGCAGTGTATCACTAGCAACTGCCATATGGCATTTTTGTCTGTTTAGAAAGTGTAACAGTGACAGCCTGAAGCAGACTCTAAATCACAGAAATTGCTTTTTAATGTGACCAATATGCAGTTACAATTGTAGCAGATCACCTTGGGACATCTATCTCTAAAATCTGCTGTTGAAAGGCTGTTGCAAAGTGTTTTTAGTGCCAAAGATTCACCTTACAGCCCCGCAGTGTGACAGTTTCTTCACAATGTACAGTATTACTCACCTGCCAGCTAGAACCTTGCATGAGGCCACAGAGAAACCATCCTGCAGGGAGGTCACATTGTCCTCCAGAGTGAGGACAGAGCCCTTAAAACCTGGATCAGAGAAAAGCTGCACCTGAGGCACACACAGCAAAAAAACAAGACTGAGTCATCCACTCTGAGCTCCTCACCTCCTCGTCACATAATAATTGCAATAACGCTGCAAAATTAGATGTGCTTTCTTTCTTCCTTTTTAAATGCCTACCTTAAATTTGGATGTGTTCTCAAAATCATCCTGAAATGAAAATGAAAAAAAAAAAAAGATTATTGAGACTGATTCACAGGCACTGAACCACAAAAGAGAGTGGCGCTGATAGGAAAGGAGAGATGCAACATTGTGGGTGGTATTGCTTTAACTTGTGTGTGTGTGTGTGTGATATGCCCTCCCTCCACTCCGTTTTCCTGGCTTTACCTTTCCTCGTGTCTCATTATCTGTGTTTTTTGTTTTTCTTTAATCTCTGTGTAGTCTGTGTCTGCCTGGGCATTGCACTCCATTCCTGCCCCTTTAATCAACTCACCTCATCCACGAATCAAGCTCCTGTAGCATTCTGTGGCTCGCTTTGAATCGTTCATTCCCTTATGTGAGTCTAACACTACTCCCACTTCTGATTTAGTTTGTTACTCATGTTATGTGACCCTTTGAAGCAACTCTTTGTTTCCGTGTGCCAGCCTGGCTCTTGCTCACTCTGCCTCCAGCAGCCTGGCTTGCTTGTCCTGCTCTCATAACAGGCAGCACGCAGCAGCCAACAAATCCATCTAACAGAGAAACTCGACCGATTCTTTGCACAGTTTGACAAATAATAATCAAATCAAACTCCAGCCGGTCACAAACCGATAGCAGACTGAAAGGCATTCACAAGGTCCAGCAGACACTCTTCAACTCTTCTGCATTAAAAAAAAAAGCTGGGTCCAATGATGTGCAGGGCTGTGCTGTCAGAGGTATTGACACACATTTTGAACCTCCCTTAAAACCACCATCGGGCCTATTCCCAGAAAAAATTACTGTAACTCGTTTGTACAAACCACTAGTCAGTTGATCTAACCTCTGTCATCTCAAAAGCCTTTGAAGGATTGATACTCACATCAAAGACTCCATCGTTGCGGATCTTAACCACTATTGCCTACCGGGCAATGACAATGCCATCTCTGTGGCTTTCAATACAGCCTTTTATCACCTTGACAAATACGGCACGTCTCTGTTGACTCCAGCTCTACATTTATCACATCCTTGACAAGCTGGTGGACAAACTCAATGCAGTAATCCGACTGCATATGCAAGTGGATACTGTTTTTTTTTCCCTCCCTCAAACTGTTAAAGGATGCGTACTGAGCCCTTTTATGCACTTTTGACTCATGCAAACCCATCCACAACTCTAATTCCATTGTTAAGCTAGCAGATGATAATGATGACAATGAGACTGCATATGAGGTTCAGAAGCTATGTGCCAAATCTGACCTTAAACACCGAAAACACCATGGAGATTACTTTATTTTTCAGGATGAGAAAGCCAGACATACGCTTGTATACATCAAAACAAAGGCTATGGAGAGAGATCGCAGCTTCAACGTAATAGCAGCCACCATTACAGAGGACTTTTCCCAGGCTGGCAGTTGTGAGTGAAGCATAAATACATCTTTATTTCCTAAATTTAAGGAGAGCTCACCTCCTCAAAAGCGTGCTTGTATACTTGGACAGATGAATATAGAGAGTACCCTCACTAACTGCGTGACAGCTTGGTAAAGCAGCTGTGACTAAGCCGACATAATGTCCTTCCACAGTGTTGCAAAAAGGATACAAAACATCGTGGGCACAGAGCTGCCATCTTTAGAGCATCTCTAGATCACTCCCTGTGTGAGGAAACCCAAGCAAATCATCACAGACACTGCACACCATGGACACAATTCATTCAATCTCCTACCTGCGGCAGGTGCATGAAAGCTATCCATGCATGCGCAAACACACTGAGCTCTGACACTGTTGACCTCAGTCTGACAGTAAGTTATGTAAAGTGTTAACATGAAATATTTTATACTCAATTTAAGCCTTGTGTATATCAAATATATGTATGTAGTGCTGTCCTGTTGCAGACACACTTGCACCCTTGTTAACTGCCCTTTTATAACAATGATAATCCAATATTTTACTATTTCTTGTCAGGTTGCTATAACTAGTTTTGTTGTACTTGCATAATATCAAGACCCTGGTTACTTGGCAGCCAGTTTCAGTAAACTGTGTTTTACTGCTATACTAACTTCCCTGTAAGTCTAGCTTCTGAGTCCTTTTTACATTTAAACTCCACAGAAATGGTTTACACAAATATCTGAGACAGACCATCTTAACTTTAAAGCTGAAGCCAAATAATTAATTTTTAATGACTCTACTCTAATTGGGACCGATCATTACAGCGTTTTACCGAGTCTTGTCTTGTGTATGCCTCTTTGTCATCATCCAGTTTGTAACCAAAGCAACTTCACGATGAGTCACTTTTGTGATCTAAGATATTTTTGCTTTCAGTCTAATGACAAGAATTTTCCTCTCTCATGCTGGGTAAGTAATTTTATTCACATTTCTGCTCTGCTTCATGCTCCCAGAGTTAATCCACTGTAAAGCTCGGTATCTGTCGCGTGTTATCCCTGACATTCATTTTCCTTTTTTAAGCATTCCACCTTAAATTTTGATTTTTTTCTGCAAGTGTATAAGTTGCTGGTTACAAGCAGCGAAACCACATGGTGAGTCACACTAGTACCTCAAGAGGAAGTGAAAATTCACCGGCAGTTGTGCAATTATTCATCGTGCAAAGCTGATGGAGCTAATCGTGCAGGTCAAGCAAACACACTGGCTGCTGTATTGATTAAATGTAAAATATCACAGTCGCCAGACCATCTGTCTAATAACCAGACAATGTTTCCACCCTGAGTCACCACTCTTACCAGCATGACAGGCATTGTTGAGCCAACTCTGTGCTGCAGTGCCCCCCAGTCCTCTGGGCTTCCATACAGGCCTTTTTCCAGGACATAAGGCTCGCCACAAAAGCCTGGCTCTTCAAACACAACCCAGCTGAGAACAAAAACAAAAGAGGAGCACCCTTTACTTTTGACATGACATTCTTTTTTCATTTTCATTTCATTTTAATTGGTAAAGAAACAGAGTATTTGATGGGCCGTGGCTGAAACCCACAAGAATTCAGGCACAGTTGTGCTCGTTCAGCAACAACTTGGGGTCAAAATCCAATACCTTCCCACATGATAGCATCTCAGCAGCTACTCTGTTGAAAAATGTGGCATGTCACGAGTGGCTGTGGGAGTGGGTGTTGCATTTGCAGAACTGTGTGTGTCCTAACGTGCAAGACTGAAAAACTGACAGTTGTCTCCCAGCAAAACAAACGGAACGCAAATGAGCCAATCAAACAGCAGAAGAACATGGGCGAGGCCGCGCCGTCTAATAACAGACTAGCAGCGCAGCAAGAATAACCTTTCAATGTCATGAGAGTCTTTTCTCATAAAGAAGGACGTGATGTTCCACTCCACATTATTAACCATTTTCTTCCTCTCTCTTGGGTAGAAGCAATCAGGAAAGCATGCCCTGCACTTCATTATTCTCGTTTGCTTCCTGTTTGTTTACTTCTGCATTTTTTTTCTAGCTGATCATACCATAAAGAGAGGCTGAAAGGCAAGCAGTGATGGAACACTGCCACTGCTCATTCCTACAGCATGTGGTTAAAAAAACAAAGATGGTGATAAAAATACCTCAAGGGAATAAAGAATTTCCAAATATAAACAGAATTCCTTGTTAACTAAGTTTAAAGATCTGAGTCTGCCTCCTCCACACTCTCCAAGAAGTCACAGAGTTGTTTCCCACTGCAAAGAGTCTGAGATAGTCCTAATGTCAGGAACATATGCGTGGCAGACTAACCATTAGTGAACGAGGTAATCTGTCTCGACCTGTCAGCAAAGGTGTGGCAATCATGCCGCCACGCTCCGGAGAAGCAACGAAGGGTAATAAACCACACAAGACTTCACAGGAGCTGTAGCCTCAACTAATCATCAAGCTGGCGGGAAGAAAAGCATCTAAAAACATGTAGAGTAGTCTAAGTCGTTCTCCATCAAGGTAGGTAATCAAGCAATATTTGTTAGAACCATACCCAAGCATTACACCACAAGTCTTGCAGGTTGAAGATGACTTGCGAAGGAAAGCGTTTAACCTATTTCTAACAGCCGAAAATGCGTTTTTTATAAAATACCCCAAACTTTTATTTACCCTTAACAATCACAAAACAATAAACCATAATAAGCATGCTACTTACACACCACCGCCGACATCAATAGACTGCGTCTTCATGCCATAGCCCGTCTCATCCATGTTAATAACAGGCACTGAGAGGTCAATGTTCATCCCCAGCTCGCCAAAATCTCTGTCGCTGAACATTTTGAGGTGTGGAGACATGAAATCCTGTGACAAGAATAAAATCATTTTAGGAAAAGCTGCAGAGAAACACAAAATCTTGGGTTGAAGATCAAAACAACACATTTGAGGGTTAGGAATAAAGTCAATTTACTCTAGGGAGTTATTTTTAAACTGTTATACATTTTTCCAGTCACACCAATTACAAAGAATATGATTACACAACAGCTTATAGGTTTCTGATGTACTTGCACACCCTGTCCAAAAATGAAGACAGTATCAGCTTAGGCATGACACGAAATGTAGCTCAGCTGCAATCCTGGCATATCAGCATACCATCTTACATCAGCTGACGTCTCAGGTGATATCCTGATATACATCCAAATAGTAAATCTCATATAGGGTTCTCTATTTAACTTGCATGCACAATTGCACAGCTGCTTTGCAACCCGCCTCTACCACTCCTTTTTCATGCTTCTATCTGACTTAAATAGTATCTTATCTGTTATATCTGATGTCTGCTCTGTTCTTTATGGGAGGTATCACTGCCTGTATCTTTCCACTTAAATACAGGGAGGGGAGGGGAGGTCTCAGAACAGAAAAAGGCCAAAAAAATACATTACTGAAAACAGAAAACACAATTATCCTTCGATTAAAGTGGTCCTGACTGAAAAGCTGTTTCTAGACAAAAAGCACCATAATGAGAGCGCCCTTGAGCAAAAACTGCTTTGGGGTAAGATTAATATATTATATGCAAGATGTTGATTTGTTTATAGAATCTGGGGCTTCCAAAAACTGTTTATGCCTTCGAGTTGCTATTAACAATTTGTATATAACAATTTTCTGCAGACTTTATACGTTTTTTTTTTTTTGTACATCCAAAAGTCAGCCATGCCCACTGGGGATACAGTGGAATGTATTTCTTTGCAACAGCTTCTTAAAACAAAAAGTTGTTTTTGCTTTCTTTCTGTTTAAACCAATTCCCCAACGAAGACTTGGAAAATTAGCATTTTGTCTACCATTTAATAAATATGTCTCCCTGCTTGCTAATGCTGCACACTCTTCATAGTCAGTGTTTATGTGGAAGGTTTTGGTCTCAATAGTTTTTATTATATTATATTTTTACATTAGCTTGCAGTCTAAAGAAGAAGAACAAGGTACTGAGCCCTGAAAATTGAATTGAATTGAATTGAATCGACCCCGACGAATCCGCTGATGTGTGCATGACAGAACTAAGCTTTGTCAGAATGGGTGAATGCAGGTTATAGTGTGGAGCACCTTGAATGGTCTTAAAGCCTACAAAAGCGTGCTATTTTTATTTTCGACAATCAGTTGCAATCTGAATTGTAACCTTCATCAACTCAGAGTGGTTATGCAAAATTCAAGCATCAGTTGGCGGTTGCTATGAATCACACACTGGTATATGCTAAGCTCCTTGCTAGTTTTTTAGTGTTTGCAGTACTCACAGACAGTATCGGTCGCAATGACAGAAGTTCTGAGCCACCCCAGTCACTGCACTCCAGGTACTCTCCTTCCTCCAGGATGTGCTGCTGACCCTCGAACCCAGACTCGCTGTAGCCCACCCAGCTGATGCAAGAAACAAAATGCAGCAAAGTCACTGATTAGAGCTAAACTGGTAGCTCCTGATCAAATTATTATATTATAATCATATTACATCAAAATCACTATCTTAGTCTAGAATAAACTTTGCTCCAGAGTAAGAGTGCCATTTAACTCCATCCTGTACAAGCAAAGGGACATGCAGAAGAAGACTCACAATCCTCCAATGATCTTCAAAGAGCCCACGGACTTCAGTTTCATTGTGTCAAGGTCTGCAGGAACATCTCCTTCACTCTCACAAAAGCTGAAAATTTCACCGTCAACTTCCATACCGGAGCCTTCAAAGCCGGGCTTCTCATATAGAACAGCCTGCATCAAAGAACAGACAGCTTACCTTAACACACAGGTTATATTTTATTTAACTTCATTATATTTCCAAGGAACTACAAACTACATATTAAAAGTCCTATTTGAATGGCACAGTATTAAGACTGTGTGCATCTCAGTGGTTTTTACGTTGTCCAATTGCTGAATGACAGAATGACGCGTTCACCCTAAAAATAATCTGTTTATCTGATTCTCACATTGTTAGCTGTGGAAATTCTTGCTCTTAAAATAAACTGTGGTTAGTGTACTGGAACTTCCGTTACCTTTTGTGGTCTTAAATGAAATAAGCCTACAAGTCAAAAACACTTGGGCAATGCCTGAAGGCCTTTCATAAACATGCTTTTCCTAAATACTCAACACCAATATTACAATTTGTGGTATTATTATTATATAATTTCCAGAATTTAACATTAAATAGCTTTTTCCTTTCTTTTTCTTCTTTTTGAGATCAAACAAAACAGAACTGCGCATACCTTGACTTCACTGGAATTCTCCACTTTGAAACCACCCTGGAACAGAGAAGTCATCATCATTAACGATGCTCTTCTCTAATTATATGCACACAATAGAACACCTGCCAGCAATTACACACATTCATAGTTCAACTAATTTTCTCAAAAATGTTCATAATTCCCTTGGCCTGGTAGATGGAAGGTTGAGCTGAGCTATTGTCTCCGTGACCCTTCACAATGCGGAAAAGGCAGAAATCGGAATGCCAGCTTTTGATAATTATTACTGAACACAACATGAAGCTGTGGCTTAAGGGGATGTCAGCAGTTTTGCATAATTTCAGTTACATTTCATTTAAAACTTCTGAACTACTTAAGAATTTGACCTTATGATTGCACTTGGTGAAAAATCGGGCTCATTAATTCTGAAGGGGTGGGATGTTTGTAACAAATGGCACGTCAGTCCAATATGTGTCTGCATCTCCCATAAAGCATAAATCTCAACCTAAGTGAATTACCAGAGGAACAGTGTCAGGAGAATCAAGTCAGAACATTGCTGGCAGTCACCCTGTCTCACATAGTCTTAGAAAAAAAACTGAACAGAACAGAAATAGAAAGAAAGAGTCTTTTTTAGAAGCTTTGCCTCTATTGGAAATGCTGTTTGGTTTTGTGCAGGTGAGGGTGCTGCGTAATAGAGCTTGCAGGAGGCAGGACACGTCACACACAGTAGCTCGCTGTCAATTCTCTAGATAATTAATTAGCTTCACTATTCTTACATGGGCAAACCTTAACATCCTGACTGTAGCGTATCTGCAAAAACATATGCTACACTCATGACTCATCCTCTGGGAACTATAAATGTCTATGCCATGTTCTCAGCAGGTACTTTCCACAGTAGAAGGATATGTATTTTGATTTGAGACAGGTTTTATGTGAGCTGCCCTTCCTGACACAATCCCATTTATCTGCACTGGGACCAGCACGTGACCTCCTTAAGATTGCCTTTGTGTCTCCTCCCAGAATTATCAAGGGTCAAATGTGTTAATGAGTGCACCACAGAGCCAGTCTGCATCACATTTTAAGTCCATTTACAAAAGCTCTGATGTTAATTTTTATCTGCAGGAAGGACACCATAACATACTCTGGAAATCATCAGCACTGCTAACATTATAGACTCTAGGATCCTTAAATATGTATAACAAATTTTATAGCAATTGGCCTCATGGATGCAGAGATTTTACTAAAAAACAAAATCTGTATGCTTCATCCTTTAGGGATCACAAATGACTGTTCCAAAGCTTTTGGTTGTGTATCCAGTAGTTATTTTATGCCTGGGACACATTGAGGGAATGATCAAAAGAGATCATTTGTCATTTTAAAATGCATTAGATGTTATTCATTACAGTAGTACAAACCATTTTAAGTGGTCTAAGAGATCCCACGAAGGGTGACGGGAAACCCCAGGTCTCAGGAAAAGGGTACACTCCTGTTTCCAGGACAGACACCATGCCCTCAAACCCTGGATCACTGAAAAGCAGCCACCTGAAGAAAGGAGGAATTCGTGTTATTTAATCATCAAAAACCTTTATTCATATTATGCATAACAACAAAACTGTTGGTTGTTTTAAAACTAATGTAAGTGAGCACGTTAAATACTTCCATAAAAGAGCTGTAAAAAAATCATTGTCATAAAAATAACAAACTTTCTGTTCCCTTTTTTTCCTCAACACATAAATAAGCAGCAGCTTTTTCAGCTGTGGTATCGGCAGAAGTGACTTATGGTTTTTCCTCAGTACATTAGGCATTGTCAGTTCAAGGCAGCGCTTTATTTGGGTTTAATTCTATATCTACCCCTGCTATGAGCTAAAGAACTAGAGCTAGGAACAAAGGCTATTTGTTTAAGAGCAAAATATCTGGGGAATGGCATGCTTCAATTCAAATCACTTTTCTTCACTATTCATATTTATAGCCTGGGCAGCCTTTGTGAGAACAATGCCCCCAACTTTGGTATTTTAAACCATGGTGTGGCACAGCACAATGCCTCATACAAACAACCAGATGTGAGCCTCTGTCAGGAAAAATACACCCAGCTCATTCAGTCAGGACTAAAAAAAAAGAAGTGATTACCAAGAATTTATGTCAACCTTAACTTGCTAAATCCACAGAGTCTATCTGTTCAGTGAAGTCAACTGGGATTACTGCACGTAAAACACAACGCTACATCTGCTGAGCAGCTGCCTTCACTTGTCACAGACAGACAGGAGAAGCTACAGTGGCAGAATTTGCAATTATGTGTTGAGATGAGCTGGCATCTGACAGCAATTAGTTTTGTTTTTGCTGCTGTCAAATGCTGAAAAAAATCCTTTGCATTAAGTATTGTAGGTAAGCCTACAATACTTGATTTAGAGGAAAAGCTCTAACTAACAGCATTCATTCCCTTCTGCTGTAGGGCACAAAATGTACTGAATAGCTACACCTATAACCAAGAAAAACATTCTTGTGCCATTTGCCAAATTCTCTCCACACCTTTGTCTGTTTCTCACTTTCTGTCAATTGCTCCTCCTCTACTACTCTGCTTCCCATGTGTCCCAACTCCCGCTCTCCCTCATTTCTAACATGCAACAGCAGGACAGACATTCCTCGGCGGGCAAATGAATGAGAGTTAAACCGAAGCCCAATATAGGCACAGCGGAATGTAGTAATGATTATTATCACAGTTATTTCTCAGAGCAAAACACAGAGAAGATCTTATTAAAGAGACAGCTCTGATTTGAGCGCAGCAGGTAAGAGCTCATCAAAAGGAAAAAAAACAACATCACTGAGAAGGACTGAGATCATCTAATTTTCTAAAAGGTGCATTTCTTGTATCTTTATGGACTGCATGTATAAAACAACAATACTTACACCCCAGAGTGCACTTGAATGGAAGCAGTACTCAGTGGGATGCCGAATGAGCCAGTTTCTATTGTGTCGTCGTGGTATGGTGTTACTCTGCCGTGGCCTTCGGGTTCAGTAAACAGATCAATATGGGGGATGCTGTAATCCTACAGAGAGGCGCGGGGGGGAGGAAGAATAGCCATTATCAGCAGTGATCCACACAAGATCTTCAATAATTCCTCCCAATAAATCCAAGGAAGATCTTAACTAGCTGACTTGTATTCTTTTCTGCTCTGGAGTCTGGATTGAATATCAATAAAACAATGCAGACTGTTAGCTACATTTCAGATCCAATGTGAGGTGAAGATAATGTCGATACTGAAGACCATGCAAGGTGGAGTTAGTGTACTCACCCTGACAGCAAGTCGAATAGAGCCGATCACCATTGGCGGGCTGTTGTGCGGTTCTGTCCCCACTTGAGGTTCTGCCCAATCGTTTGCCAATTCTGTGCTCCCCTCCTCCAAGGCGATGGTGCGTCCCTGAAAGTCCGGCTTCTCATACAGCATCCAGCTAGTTATGAAAACATAATCATCATAATCACAATCAGATAGCTAATGATCAAGGTTAAAAACTGTGGATTACATCGCTAATTCGACATTTTTTGGAAATACACCTATTTGGTTGCTCGTTGAAAGCTACATGAGTGAATCAATATCGTTCTCCTGCTATTTTAAGAATACACCTGGCAGTTGGTTAGCACAGCTGGCTCTACCAGCTCCTCTTTAGCTCACTAATTAACACATTGCTTCTTCCCCGATTTCATTGCAAAGTGGAAGAACAGCACATCTTTGCAGAAAGTCTGGCAGCCATGCTGTGAATGAGATGAAATCTGTGTTTTTAAAAGGACAGGACAAGAGCTTGTTACAGTAGTCCTTGCTGCTGGAACTGAGGGCGCTGTACTTTTTAAGTCTTGCTTTTTGTTGAATATGATAAAATGCTAATTTAGTGTATCTTGATGTAGCCGCTGAAGGTCAGATCTGAACACATTTCTAATTTGAATTTTTTTAAATCATTTTAGCACCAGAATCAAGCTGTGCTTTTCTTACCCAACACAAAAAATTTGATTTTTTTTTCAACGTATGTAAGTGTCAGCATTTTCAGAAAGTGCATTTAAATGTCATTCCTTTTTTTTTTAGACAGCATTATTCCAAACATCTACCTTGAATATCAAAAACAGTATCTGACCACTACAAAGAAGTATAAAGAACTACAAAGCTAAGAAGTGCAAGCCAGAGGATGCACCTGCACACACACAAGCACACGGCTGGTGTTTGGCACATTCCTGCAAATGGTATTACACACTTCCAGTAATCTACAGGTGCCTGGACCACGTCAAGAAAAGCAGGAATGGTAAGGGTAAAAAAGGGACTGATAGCAAAGAAAATATGAATGTAAAGCATGCAGGGTTCTAAATAAATAATAAATAAGTTCGGTTATCAAGTAAGACTCTCTCAGTGCTCATGCTTCATTAAATTAGCTTGGTGTAGAGCCTCAACAGGAGATTTTGGCATCTCAAAACCACATGACACCAATTAAAGCTATACGGGGCATTTTCTTTTTCATCATCTGACATTTTGGCTGAATATTTGTTACTTACCATCCTCTAACAACCTTCACAGATATGAAAGGCGGGAGCTGCAGAGATGTAGCATCTGGCATATCCCTGTAAATCTCATATGCCTGGCCACTGAACTGAGGTTTTTCAAACAGCACCACCTGCATAGAGAAAAGAAGGACAGTGCCAAAAAAATTAAAAAAAAGTTATGAATAATGAAGGAGTAAGCCACAGTTGTGAAAAAAGCAGCTTCTCTAGAAACCTCTTTGTTATGTTTTGTTTGTTAATAAGCCTGCTTATAATTCTAAATCTTTACATATATTCTCTTCTGTTTGTTTTGGTTAATCCCAGTCGTCATAGTTCAAGCCTCTCCAAAGGTAACACAGGAGGTAAACTGAATTAATGAACACCTAATATGTAGGAAAGCAACTACAAATGTTGAGTGCCCCGGGAATTACTCGTTCCTTGTAACAACTACTAATGAAGTTCTGCAGTAATGAAAAACCACAGGATCTGCACTACGTTGGCAGAACTGAATTCTGTGATTGCACCCAGCTGAGCAATTGCACAAGACTTTTTTTTACTCTGTTTACCCACGAGAACACCATATGAAAAACAGATGTTTTCACAGAACAGAGACTTGTCTGTTCAGATTCCTCTCTCCCATCTTGTTTCTATTTCGTGATGGTAAAGTTGTGCCTACTGTACCTTTCCAGGGCGTTTGTGAAATCCCTTCACAGTTCTTATCTGGAATGCAGAAACACATAGTTAAGATCAAAGTAAACATCTCGACAATACAAAAGAAGTTGATATGAATTTGTTTGTGAAGAAGCTGTGCCTATGACCTTTCAGTTTTACCCCCAGGGACATAGTGGGCATGTGTTGAGGACATTCCTCTCATTTCATATCTAAGCACCCAAAACCAGAGACCAGCCAAAACCAGAGTGCAATCAGCGTAAGCTCGTGATGTTGATTGCACAAAACGGCAGTAAAATTAAACTAAAAAACAAAAAATCAACTAAAAGCAACTAGAAACATCAAGTCCAGACTTTTGATTATAACTGATTTATAATTTACATATTTCATGCTGTTTTGTCGCTCTCCTTCTCGAGGTTCATGCTCGGAAACGTGTTATATCTATGTATCATTAATTATCTGAGCCTTCTCTTATATACTCAGTATTGAGAACTGTCAATTGAATCTAATAAACACTTTAAATACTGTAATATACCAGCTTGGGCTTTGTAAAAACAAGCTTTTACCATTTACAGAGAACAGCAATCGTCATACAAATTCCCTTCAGCTCAATTCAGCTTTATTTATGTGGTCATTGGCCACTTTGTTAGATACACCTATTCAACTGGAAATATATAGTCAGTCACATGACAGCAACTAATTGCATGTATACATGTAGACATGGTGAAGACAAACCAATAAAGTTCAAACCGAGCATTAGAATGGAGAAGAAAGATGATTTAGGTGACTATAAATGTGGCATGGTTATCGGTGCAAGACAGGAAAGACGACACCGGGTCTGATGAGTCTCAATTTCTGCTGTCACATTCAGATGGAAGGGTTTGAATTCAGTGTAAACAAAATGAAAGCACTGATCCAGGCTGCTGGTGCTGTAATGGTGAGAGAGATATTTTCTTGACACACTTTGGCGCCATCAGCACCAAACGAGCTTCATTTAAATGCCAATGTATTGCTGAGTATTGCTGCTGACCATGTCTATCCCTTTATGACCAAAGTGTGCCCACCTTCTGATGGGTACATCCAGTAGAGTACATGTACAGTTGACAAATCTGCAGCAACTGTGTGATGCTATCATGTCAATATGGACCAAAATCTCAGAATGTTTCTAGCACCTTCCTAAATGTGAGATTTACATCAATTCTGAAAGCAACACGGTGTTTAACCAGGTACTAACAATTTGTACCTAATAAAGTGGCCGGTTACTTCTGAGCAGATTAACTTTTACATGGACTCCACTGGAGCAAATTCCAGACACAGTGTTACTGAGAATAAGAAAGCTTCCCTACTTGTGATGACCAAAAAAAAGAAAAGAAAATGTAATTTTTTCCATGAAAACCACATGTGGTGTAGCTCCGAAAATAGAAATAGCATCCAACTCTCTTACCAGCACAGCAAGCTGGCTTGTATCTGGCTTGCCAGAAAGTAAGAGCTGATACTTATGCACTTCAAAGCAATCCACAACTTTAATTTATGACAATAAACCTTTTATTCATCCTTCAATAAAATGTTTGTAATGAATGCAGAACACTTACATTACTTCTAAGTACTCCCTGCGGCTGAGCCGGAGGCTGCTTTAGTTCGGGGAGGGTTGGTTGTTTTGTTGGAGGAACAACAGGAAAGCATGGAGCAGCAGTGTCAGGAAGCACCGGACCTGGTTTTGCAACGCTGTCTGCTTCATCTCCAGCAACATGAGTGGCCATTTTCTTAATTAACTGGTGTGTAAAAAGAAAACAATGGAGTAAGGATAAATGTTTTTAATGTGTTTGCTTATGAAATATGCTGTGGCAACGTCTACTGTGGTTTATTTACTAAAGTGCCATTTCCATGTCTCTCCTGTCAGTCGACAGGAAAGCAGAGTTCTGTGCTTTAGCTAAATAGCTTTGCTCTGCTTCAACTCTGCTGAGCTTGCTAGTTACATTGTGTCTCTTTGCTAAAAGGACAACTACACTGACACTCACAACTTTTAGTTACATGCAGAAAAACTAACCTCTGGTTTGACTTGATCCTGTCCTTGTATGCTCTGTACTGGCTTTACTTGATCTCTTGGGAGGTACTTCTCTAAATAGTCAGGCAGTTTGATGTCGTTAAAAGAAGGAAATGGAGGACCTGAGTCACTAACCACAGCCTCTGCAGCACGGGTTTCCTCTTCACTCTGCTTGGCTAGAGTGTCTTTGATTGAAGCTGTGGCTGACGGGCTTGGTGGGGGTGGCTGGGACGAAGGTGGAGGGCTCAGCTTGGAGGCTTCAGTAGGCGATACGTTTCCTGAGCCAGTGCCCTCTGACTCGGCTTGAACTCCATTTCTCCTTCCTCTGTAAAGGGAGGTGAGACTACTCAGAACGCAGCTCCCCTCCAAGCGAGACTTCACCTTGATTTGATCATCTTTCTGTTCCTTCACGTCCTCCTCTTCCTTGACAGGGGTTTTGTCCCTGAGGCGGGAGTGTGTGTCTAGGCTATTAAGCAGCATGCTCTTGTCTGCAAAGCTAACCCTGGCAGGCTTCAGGACAGATTTTGTATCTGTGTTTGGGTTCTTGGAAAAAAGGCTCAGTGATGTGTTTATGGTAAACTCAGGCTTTTTTCTCAAGCCAAATGTAAACTCCTCTGGGTCAAAAGTCTTCTCAAAGCGGTCCTCCTTAATGGCTGGCATTGCAAATGGGGGCTGAGGTGGTCGGAGGTGGTTGTGCTTCCGTGGTGGGAGGGAAAATGGGGCACAAAGTTTCTTGATTTTCTCAACAAAATCATGATCATCTAGCTCGCCAGGAGTGTCCAGAAGATTGCTCTCACTTCCAGAAGAAGTCAGCTTTTGCTCCTGGACTTTAAGTTTCCATTTGGGGAAGTCCACATCCAGCCAGCTAGAGGGGGCATCTTGCTGTTTCGAGGAGTCATCTTTGCCTAGACCCCGTGGCAATTGGAACTTCTTCATGGATGAATGCTGTATTGAGCCTGGGATCAGCCTGTTAGACTCTGGGGAAGTGGGTGGTTTTGAAGACCGTCTCAGATTGTTATCAACAGGCTCCTTTTTAACTGGCTTGACTTCTAAATGTGTGGAAATGTCACGATTGATATGAGATGAAACTTCATTCACTGGCAAATGCAATCCCATCACAGCTGAATTCTCAGTCACATTCACTGTGTGGCTAGCAGCAGTGCTATCAGGGCGGCTCTGTGTTATGTTTTCAGCATCCCTGAGTGGTGTAATATCGCTGCCATTCTCTATATTTTTGGATTCATCAGACAGTGTGTGGCCGGAGACTGGTTTTGTCATATCTCCAGAGGTACTGATTTCTGAGGTCACTGATTTGACAGTTGAGATTTTTTCCTCATCTTCCTGCCCACCTCTCTCTGTGTTTGCAGATTTGCAAACAGAAGTAGAAGAAGGCTCTTCCACATATGATTCTTTGTTTTGCCCATGTGTCATGTCAGTGATTGAAAATAGAGTGTCATTAGAGACTTTTGCCTTCACTTCCTCACTGGCCGTAGCTGCTTTGGTAATAGGATTTGTGCTGGAGAACTCTGAATCATTAGCTCCATGTGTACATGAGTCATCCCGTGAATTCTCTGCTTTTTCCACAGATGCAGAATTAGGCTGTGCAATCACCACTGGCTCTCCTTCTGTTCTGGGGCTTTCTGCAGAATGAGTCTGCAACTCAGAAGGCCCATTTATAAGCGTCTCTACCTTCCCAAGCTCTTTATCACTCTTGGCGCCACTCACAGCCTCATTAGCCTGGGTGATGGTACAAACAGCGGCTTTTTCTGAAGGTGCAGTCACCGACTGACTGAGATGTTGTGTTTGAGCAGGGAGATCTGATGAGCCGCTGCTCTTTTCTGACCGAGAAGCTGGTTCTGGTTCTTTAGTTTCTGGTCTTATTATGTCTTTAACCAGTTGTGTCTCCTCATTTTTTTCCGGAATTTTTCTTTCATCATCCCTTGCAACACTTTCCTCTTTCCCTGTGATCGCCTGCACACTGTGTGAAACCTTGGGCTTTGCAGCACTTTCATCTAGAGGCAGGCGCTGCTGTGGTTTTTCTTTAACTTTCTCCTCAGTCTGATTTGTTTTCTCACTCACCACCTTCTCTAATTTCACCACATCTGCAGGTTCAGCGTGAGTTATTAGTTCTGTGTCCTTGTTTTGAGGTTGCTGTGTTTCTTTTTTACTAGGCTTCTTCCTTTTTTCTTTATCTTTTGACTCAAATTGCACTGAAAATTCTTTATCTAATTTGGGAAGTTTAACAGGTGACTCCTCCTCCACTGCAGAAGGCTTCTCAATAGTTGGTTCAACCAAAGGTGATTTGGGGGAAACTAAAGGTTCCGTGACTTCCACGGAAGCCTTTTTTCTTTCCATTTCAAATGTCAGACTTTGTCTCTCTGCTTCTTCCTCTTTTTGGGGTAAATCAATGGAGTCCTTGTTAGCGGGCACCTTTGTTGTGCTGCTACAAGCAGCAGTATCAGGTTCATCTTTGCTGACAGATGGTTGAGGTAATCCTGCTGGTGTGTTTACTGACTGGTGAATATTCACCTTTTTAAATGAAGCATCTAACTGTTTCTCCTGTTTATCGGATTCCTCCACTTCCTTTTTAAATTCCTTCTGCTGGCTCAGTGGCTGTTCGTCAGATTTTCTTCTTTGAACTTGAGATGGCTCTTTTTCTGAAAGCTTTTTGGGAGAAGAGGCAGTCTCATTTGTTTCATCACTCTTATCTGGCTTTGTAGCGGTGACCTTTGACTTACTTGCAGAGCACTCTGGTTTGTTTTGAATGCTTGGACTGATCGGACTGGTTGGGTCTCTATTTTTCCGTCTTTTAGAGCGGGAGCCTGTTCTGCTAGGGCCTTTGGGAGATGGGCTAATGTTATTGGTCACTTCTTTGGAATCGCCTAGTTCTTCAGCTGGAGGATCTGTTTCAGCGCTGTTGGGTTTCGTACCTTGATCTGTTGCTTCTGAGACCACCGTTTCCTTTGTTTTCCAGTCTGTTTGTTGTAGTGTGGGAATGGACGTGTGCTCCCCTAAAGGAGTCGTATCTCGTCCTTCTGGTTTTAGTGCTATCTTTGACACTGCTTTTGTCTGTATCAGCTCTTTTGTATCCAGTTTACCTTGACCGTCCAGTTCTGGAGACTTTGACGTAACGTCTGCCACAGACGAGGTGGATTTGTGAGACATTCCTTTCACGGCCGGTGTTTGAGGCTTCACAGATTTATCCTCCGACACAGACACGTCTGTTAATTTCTGCACTCGCTCCCTGATGGTCATCAGCTTTTCCATGACAGGTGGCTGTTCCGTGCTGTAACGTTCAGCTGATCTTGACCTCTGATCAGACGCAAGAAAATCCACTTTCAACCGCTCGGTGGGTTGTCTATTTGGAGACACATCAGCACTCCTCGGGATTCTGAAGGTCTGCTTGTGGCCACCCGTAGGTTGTTGCTGCTGCTTCTCAAAAAGGCTGATTTTATCCGCAATCCTGGCAGTCGTTGGCTTACGCTCGTCATCAGCCTTCTTTGGGGTGTGTACTCTGTGCAAACAAGAGGTAAATATATCAAAGAACTTCTGAATTTAAAGTCATAATCCATTTATGACCCACCACACCTGCCATAGAGATTTCTATTTGTTAATCACTTAAGAGATAAGAATAACCTGATCCATTTTTCACGTCCTCTATATGTTATGAAATCAGTCAGCACTGATCTTTGCATAGCACTGATCGTTGCATTATGAATCATGGTGTTGTTTCACTGTGGATACAGTGAAGCAATGCTGCTTTTTATCTAAAGCTGTAGCCTGCTCTTTTACCAGTAATACTGTCTTAAACAAAGCTGGAGCTAGCATAAGTATCTGCTAATAAGGGGACATCGATGAGTTAAATATTCAGTCTTGACCCTCAAAAACAAACAAACAAAAGATAGCATTTTAAGTGAGGTTTACTTATTTAGTTACACTTACTTTACTTACTTTAGTGAGCGCTACTGAAAGACTGATAGATGTATATACACATGTGGTGATTAGCCAGTGTTCTATCTATGTAAATCAAACACTTTCACTCCTAAATTCAACTTACCTGCCATCATTCTCTGTTTTGGGTGTATCCTTTTCATCACCTTTGGTATTCTTTAATGCTGCATTCCAATCCTTGTCATCTTCAGCTGGACTTTTCTTTGGATTCAGACGAACATGTTTTCTAAAAAGCTTCACCTCACTCTGAGAAACCTTAATGCTCCTGCGTTTGGACTCTGGTGTCTCTGTCTTCCTTTCTACTCTATAAAAATCGTCATTGCCCTCCATGTCTGCACCTTCATCCGCCACACAGTTCAAGTCTTGAAGGTTGTCCAACTGCTTGACCGTGGCGGGGCAGGAAGTCTTTCTTTCCCCTCCTTCAGGTGAGGCCTGTGAGGTGGGGTTTTGCTCGGAGGAGGAGGAGTCTTCAGGTGCCTCACTTTTGCTCTTTAGGCTACTCACTAAGTTATCTGACTTAGGGAATCCCTCTGAGGCAGGTTGTGCAGTTGGAGGGATTGTTTCCGCAGGAGCTTTCCCTCCATCGCCCTGAGAGTTTTTCCTTCTTTTTCTGGCTGAGTTTTTACGCCCCATGATGTCTTCTTCTATTTGTTCTTGATCTGGTTCAGGCTCTAACTGTGAGTCTTTGTGGGATTTTAGTGGCACTCCTACTAGTGCGCCGTAATAATCCTGTGCCCCAGCAGCAGATCTCGCATTTGTCTCTTTGTTCTCTGCACTTGAGCTATTTGCTAAATGAAAACTTGGTGATGACTTTGCCTTAGGGAGGACTTGAAGGCTTTTTGTGAGTTTGGTGCGGACAACTTCCTGCCCAGCACAACTGTTCTCACCACACTGAATCACACTCGTTTCCTCCAGGTACACATGGAGCTTCTTGCCTGTCTGGGCCTGTGCTTTCCTCTGGGCCTGAGGCTGGGTGTGGGCCTGGTCAGAGTACCATGCCACACCCTGTTTAGTAGATGAATAGAGATGTGTCAGATGGCTGTCATTCCTTTCAGGATTCCCACTTGCTGAAGTACATCTGTTGCTCTCCTCCCTGTCCTGTCCTGTTGTCTGCCTACTGCACTCCCAAAGCTCCTCCTTTTTTGGACCTCCTACTCCTGTCTCAGCGCTGCACACAACAGGGCCGTCTCTGTGGGCAGACTGCGTGGCGTTCTCCTCGTCACAAGGGAAAACGCCTCTGAAGAAACCCTGCAGATGGGGATTCTCCTCCTCTTGCTGCTGTTCTCCAGCCCAGGGTCTCACAGTCTCCTCACTTTCCACTTCTCCCTCTGACTTAGGAGTGTGATCGCCAGTTGAGGGGGCATTTTCAGTAGGAGTCTTCGGAGCTTTTCCCCTCCACGGAGAGAGCCAACTGCCAATACGACCCAAGACTCCAGTACTTGGCTGGTCTTCGGGGCTCTCAGACTAAAGCAAAGCACAGAAATAACTCAAATAAATGTCAGCTTCAAAACGTAGCTGCAGTTTGCAAACATGCATATTTCCGGTGAATATGCGCAGAATTTAGATAACATGACAGTAATACAAACTGTCTAAATGGACAAAGCAAAGGAGTGCAAGCTGGAGATCTGAAGAAAATATAGTGAGGGTTTCCTGTTCATTGAGATTTATTTATTTTTTAGTACAGCCATGCATCTCTCAGCATAGCAAAGACATGCAAGGGTGCTTATAACCTGTAAGCTTACCGTAGAAAATACCATATCATTCAGACCCTTTATGTAGGCTGTGAACATGATTTTGGTTTAGAACAAAAACTCCTACAGAGCATAAAACACAAACAAAATCATTCCACCAGGACAAACAATAGCAGTGTGAAAGAGCAGAAAAAACATCACATGGATCAATCACTTTGACAGATCCATACATAACTCTCTAATTTGAACCAGACACTCTTGGCAGTCATTTCAAAATCGACTTACCCTGAACTTCACATGGAAGAAAAACTTTGATCTCGACTTCAAAATGTAAACCGCTGCTTAAAAATCTTCTCTAAGATGTTTGTCTAGCTGATGGAGAAGCTGCGTTTAGTCCCCGTTGCTTGCAGTAAAGCATCCACAACTGTAATAAGAGCGCGGCAGAGTGTGGCTTTGGAGATGTGCGTGATATTTTGAAGTTCCAGCCCCTCCATCAGAACGCGCGCAGCCCAGCGCTAAAAGCGATGCTTTCAAGTGCTGCTCGTACACATCTCCCAACATGCAAACATGAGCGGCCCGATGAAGCCGGTTTGTCAACAGGTGTTTTTTTCCCACGTCAGCAGCTCAACCGCAGTTTCATTTTGCTGGTATTTGGTTTGGCTGAAGGCCAACTTTTAGCATCAGATATACGTTGAAATGATTGGCTATATGACTGGCTGCTATTAGCAGTTTAAAGCTTTAATTAACACTTACTGGAATACCTTTAGTTATAATAGGCTTAGTAACTCCTTCCAAGTCAAACAAAATCAGTTTGTTTGTTTTAAATTAAACGTGTTGTTTTTTCAACTTGTTAAGTTAAGAGAAGCAGTTTGTGGGGGCAAGATTTGCTTAAGATAGATATAATTAGCCATCCATCCATTTACTTCCCCTTATCCTTTTTCAGGGTCGCGGGGGGCTGGAGCCTATCCCAGCTGTCTTAGGGCGAGAGGCAGGGTACACCCTGGACAGGTCGCCAGTCTGTCGCAGGGCTTACACATAGATACAGACAACCATTCGCACTCACATTCACAGAGTTTCCAATTAACCTATGCCCACTTACTGCATGTCTTTGGACTGTGGGAGGAATGCAAACTCCACACAGAAAGACCCTGACCTGCTGGCGAAATTGAACTCCGGACCTTCTTGCTGTGAGGTAATAGTGCTAACCACTGTGCCACTGTGCTGCCAGATTTAATTAGCTTATCTTTTTTATTTCATAATGATCACTGGAACAAAAAAATTATGTATTATTTACATGATTTCCCCAGTGTATATACAAGGCAGTCATGTCTTCTGTTGATGGCCTTCGCATAAGTTTGACTGTTTGTCTGTTATCTACCATGTCATGACTCATATTTCACATATTTGTAATATCACTGTAAATGCTTAGGAAAAGATCACAGCATAGTGAACAGTTTTTATCCCAGAGCCATCTCTTAACTTGACTTATCTCATCCTTGAACTCGACATACTTTCACCCAAACGTTAAGCAAAACAAATTTTGGAACTTCTGGCATAAATGTGCTGAATATTTCTAAGGGTAAAACTTAAAAAGCAATATTTTAAGTAGTTATTCGATGAATGTTGCTTTTAATTCCATTATGTATATTGCTGCACGGGAATAAAATGACATTACTTATAATACTTGGATTTTTTGAAAATACTTGACTACTCTCTGTTTTTTATGCTTTTTTGGTCCTGTGGTGGTAATAAGTTTATATGTTTCTAATTTCTTCTTGACTTTTTGCACTTTCAGGAACAGTTGTAGCTATATAAACTCATCAGCTTATAAAAAAAAAAAACATTCACTCATTTGTTTATTCAGGCACTCCTTTGCTGACCAAGTTCAGGATAGGATAGGAAATACAGTGCAGTAGCCACGTGTCTCATTGTTTAACATGTGCTGATCTAAAGAAGCAGAAGGAAAAAAAGAGCAATTGTCTCATCTATTGATGCAGTGTATCAGTGTCTCAGTATACATTTTACTGTGGGCTATTTGTTGCTGTTCTAAAGAAACAATGCAGTACATCCACAAGTTTGCTGCACTGCCGCAGGAGAATGAAGAACAAGTATACGCACTCATTTCATTCACTGAATGAGCTTATTTCCACTGAAAGAACTCAACATGAAGAACACTGAAATAAAATTACAAAACACCATAACATATAAGCACTAAGTATCAACTATGTATAGGATACCTAAATGGTGACAATGCACAAGAAAGAAAAAATCTCATTATGTAATATAAGAGAGGCTTGTTGATAAATGAGTGTAGGTTGCTTTGTGATTTTACAAATTTTACAAAATTTTAGTGAGGTTAAAATGTCATATTTCAAAGAAATAAACTGCAAAAGCAGTAAATTGATAATCTGGATGAGTGTTCCCTTTCCAAACTCTTACACCTAGACCAAAAATAGACCTGTTATATTTCAAATAGGTTATATTTGACAGATATGAGCATTTTAGACTGAAATTAGATTCTCTTTTGAGGAAGTGACAGCTGTTCTGTAATCATTAATTAGCTCATGTGTGTGCCGGTCTAAAATTCCGACATTTTGCTTAACAACTGAATGCAGCACGAGGCCATGCCCAAACAAAGTTTTTCAGCGGAAATGACGCACCGCTCATGTGGGTTTCAGAGTCTGCTGAAAGTTGTTTTTTCATTTTCTTTCTTTCTTTTTTTTTTCAAATTTCTCTTCTTTTATTTGGCGAGAAGTTCAAGTCATTCTTTCCATGCTGCTCAGTCGAGGAACTTAACCATTAAACCACTCCTGTCTGGGTAACTCAGGATTGTTTTGATTTTTTAAAAATAATAATAATAAAGCAGAGCAACTAGAAGCCACGTTGTAGCATGATGAATTTTAAAGAAAGCTCGATTTTCTCCACTTCTCATGCTCACACATAATCCACCCTGCCTGAAGAGGGGGAGGGTGGGACTGGCCGCGAATCACTGGTTTAAACACTGCACATGGGATTCATTTATGCGTTCCCATTTAATGTCCCATTTTGTTTTTACTATAGTATTATCATAACGGGTATACCCCTTACAATGGTGGTCAGACAAACACGTAAAGTAAAGCATCAACCGTCACCACGCAATCATTAAACCACCTTAAACGTTGTTTTCACTACTTTTAATTACCATAACGAAGTCTACCAGAACTACAGTTCATAAGATTAAAGCAAATGTGGCCTAGAGGCTTTAGAGTGTTACTTAAACTTTCAAACCGTCTCTACTGAAAAGCCCACAAACCGCAACTTAATTTCTTTACAAGCACGCCGCCACAGACAGAGCGAGATCTTACCATGATTACAGTGTTTCTCGTGGCTCTATGGGGAACAAACCGGTCAAAGGTAGCCCGCTGGAATAGCCCTCATAAATGAAGTCTTTCAGCGTGCTGTGCCGCTTCTCTCAGGTAACTCTAACCTCCTCAGACATGCCACTCTGCAGCGGACTAACTAATAAATATTCAGTGCAAGCTTAACAGAAAAGAATTTCAAGGCTGACTTTTGCAGTACGCCAGTTAGATGCAATTGAGTCTGCAACTTTTGAAGTGTTATTTTTTTCCCATGGTAAGAAGGGGAAGGACGCAGCTGGAATCTGCCCCAGCTAGGTAACACCCGAGGCTTTGAGCACCATGCCACAACAACTATGTCACTGCGTTGTGTAACGGCTGTGTATTAGGGTGCATGCTGTGAGATAGGCTCTATCTGCTTTAGGAAATACCAGCATGTTCACATCCACTAGGTGGTTTGCACTACCTTATTCTTTCCCTTTCTTTTGCAGAACCTTTGTGTTACTGTAGACCCTAGCTTTAAAACCAGTGCTAGTACTTGCATGCCGGACCCTTTTATCTACACATAACAAGCTCTGTGTACACACACAACACATCAAAAGGCATGCATGGCATTAATAAATACATGCAAATGCATTCCTCCTCTTGGGTTGTCTGTTTCCCATGACTTATTCATGGGCCACAGAAACTGAAACCTGCCTCATTCTACAGCCTATAAAAAATTTACACCTAGCCTCAACTTGTTACTTGTTCCTTTTACCAATAACAAAACAAATAGGGGAACTTGCCCAATGTAAATGATTTACCAGTGCATTATAATTCAATATCTAGAGAAAAAAGAAAGAATAAAAAGTTGAAACTTTAAATGTAATAGAATGCAGTGAGACAAACTGTGGTCTTTCACATGCTTAGCTGAAACCTGCTTAACAGTTTTGGAATTTGCAAATTCCAGTTTGTTAATATACAATGTAGCAGGTCTGGGCACATCACCTTAGTCTCTGAACCCTCTTACTATGGAGCGACATTCTGCATGTTGTAATACATGCAGAATGTGGTTTGGCATTGCCTTGCACAAATAATGAAGGCCTACCCTGAGAAAATGCTGTGTGGCTGGCAGCTTTATGCTACTCCTTCACAGATGTGCAAGTCAGTGAACAGTGTGCAGTGTACTAATGAACCCCGGTACTCTCTACAGATGCTGTTTTTTTGTACTCACTCCTCTGATAACAAGCTGGATAGTCTCTCTCCTTTTTAGCCTAGATTCTAGAAGACATTCATCTGTTCTATAGAGAATTTAAAATTTTGATTTGTTAGACTACAAACCTGTTTCCTACTTTGCCTCAGTCCCCCTCAAATAAGCTTGGAACCAATAAATGTGGCAGCATTTCTGAATCTTGTTTATGTTTGTTTTTTTCATTCCATTTTAAATGTTTAAAGTCACATTTCTGAATGCAGTGATCCTGAATCCATGCAGTGATTAACAGTGCTGGGAGTGCTGCTTGAGGACTGGCAGATGACCATCCAAATAAGGTTTTTGGCAGAGTCCCAGGAATTCTGTGGCCTATTGAATATTTTGAAATTACGGTAGATGAAGAAATTTGCAGTTTCTCTGTGTGTGTGTTTGTGTGTGTATGTGTGTTTTTAAAATTATGGATCCTTTCCAGTCATTTGCTGCCCCTGTTCCAATGTTTTTGCAAGTTTGAACTTGTATCTAATTAAACATTAGCATAAGTTTTAACATTCTATATGTTCTAAAAAATGTTTAAATCAGTATTTTCTGATTATCATTTGTGCAAAATTCTAAGATTATTTGAAATATGTGTATACTCTTTGAACCTTTAAATATAAATTGTACTTTATATGAAGCTTAAGCATAAATTCAATGAGGAATCACTCATCTGCCTGCTTTCCCGGCTGCTAGTCTGCCTTTCTGTTCTCTACATCACTACTGCTTTCCCATCCTGTCGATCTCAATACTGTCATTATTATTCTCGTCCAATCATTTTCTTGCTCACCTCCTTTGGGCCAATCATCCTCCACTTTGTGTAGTTTAAATCTGTGCTCTCTGTCATTCTCTCTCATATGTGCAAACCACCTCCTCCCCATCTCAACCTCACGGACACCTTAGTCAGACCTTCACTCGAGCCTTAGTCTTCACCTTTACCAACACCAGTATCTAGACTCCAGGGGGTCCTATCCTAATTCCTATCACCGCTGGGATTTCTTTCTGCCATGGTGGATCTAATCAACAAATACATCAGTTTCTCTGTCTCAATAAATCGTGTTCAAATTCTTACAAGTGATCTCTTCTTATCAAACTAGGATTGGGTTTAAGATGGGTAACTAAACTACATTTGTCTATACAATTCAGCATCAAAATATGAAAAAAGTCCACTCAGCAAAATTCACGCTAAAGGGAGTGCAGGTCCAGTTTTTCCAGTTTGGAGCTGATTAAACAAATAACACATGGAAAAAAATAGAAAACCTTTTAGAAGCTATGACAAAAAAAGAGAAAAAGAAAACCACCGTTCAATGTCTCTTTTGTAGTGCTGACTCCTCTAATTGACCCATATTGCGAGGATTAGTTTAAGAGCTTGTTATAAAGTGACAATACAAATGCTTGGTGGGATGATTGAATTTTCCTGGTGAGTCACACATTCTGTTTTACTTGGCAATTTGGCTAGAAGTATTATGTGGTCTAACAAGACATTCTATGCATTTTCAGACAGAGGAACAGCAATGAGCAGATTTACAGTGTGTGCCAAGAATTGTTTCAGTCCTGCCCTTTGTGCCATACAGTTGCAGACATGTTTACCTAGCAGCCGCTTGCTACAAACAGCCTCCTTTTGTTGGAGTGAGCAGCTCCACTGCAGGCACGTGCATAAAGCTGCTTTGTTGAGGGAAAAGAAAGAGTTACTCATTCTTTGTATCCACCCACATTTCCTTTGGAAAAGAATTTGAATTGTCAAGCTTCTGGAGCCAAGCTGACAGTCTTCGTTTAGGAAAAAGACAGTATTAGATTCAATGTAACCATGGAAGACTCAGTTCTTACACTCATTCCCATGTCTCATGTCTCAATTTGTTGGTTTCTTTTTGTGGCTTCTAAATGTAGAATAACTGTTTAGAGTGACTTCAGGGATCAAGATGACACACACCTCAACTCTAATGTATATTTGGCAAACAATAAGAGGCTTATTTAAAATCACACAGTGGGCTAAAGAAACACAATTAATTCTGATGGGTCTTCTCAGGAATAGTAATTATGGGGTTTAACCAGAATTTTCTAAATGCTGCTCAACCATTCCTTGCATTGCAGAGAGTGAAAGAGAGACTGTAAAACTTTGCCCTTACTCATTGGCTCATTGTAACACAAGATATGTCGCACGTCTTGTTTTTGCGCACGCAAATGTATAATTAGCATTTGACTGGCACTTCTTTTCAACACCCACCAAATCCAGAGAAATTTCTGTGTCAATAAAACGCAGCAATGTTTGCTTTTCTTCAGCCATGCCTGTCCCTCCCTGCCATTCCTCTGTTGCTACTCATTGCTGAGCAGACATTGCAAACCGCCAACTTTCAACCAGCGTGCCTACAGAGACCGCCTTGGGGGTACTTAGGAAAAATAACAGATTTCAGACTTGATGTAACTCCATTGCTCCATCCACTGGTTGTTGATGCGAGCTGCACCCATGCAGGGTGAGCCCCAGAGACTGCAGGAAAGATATACAGTCTATACAGCTTGCACACACGCCCTAGGCTAACTGCTGAGGTTTGTGGATCCTGCACACATTATTCTAAAGTCGCATAAGTTTGATAATTTAGGTTGTAGCAGATCATATGAAATTACTGCGAGCTAGAGGGGTTTCACATGCATACTCTTTAAGTATATATGCAATTAGTTAGATTAAAATGAGCATACTGCTTTTCTATATGATTGATTTTGCAGGCAGATAGTTTGCTGCCCTTCTTGTCTTTGAGAGTGCCTAGTGGATGCTCAGCGGACTGAACACCCCCTCAGTTATAAGATAAAAAACACGCTGATTCACTGCTGCTCTGTCTGTTACTGCCAAGCCATTTTCTCGTATCAGCAATGATATCTATGTGATTTTAAGCTTGAAGTCTTGCCATTCAAAAATGTTTACTGAGATGAAAACAATTAATATATCATTTCTGAAGTGCCACAGACGTTTTCACAATACAATATAGTGTTTTTATAAAGCATATATTGAGTTCATTCTTCACTCTCTGAAAAATTAACCCCCTCGTTCCCACGTCCTCGGAGCCAAGTTTCTTCTGATTTGCTGTCCCTGCACTCCAACGGAACTGTGTGCCTGAGATCGCAGTGTCAGGAATATTTGCTTTCTGTGATGAGGATCCATGAGTAGGAAAAGCCACTAGAAATAAAAAAAAGGGTGTTGTAAAACCAGTGTGAAGCCCGAGCTTCTGGTTCACAGAGAATACGTGCAACTCTGCTGGATAAGAATGTCCACCGTTGTATAGGGATGAAATAAATTAAGGAAAATCAAGGAAGAGGTCCTGTTAAGGTTAACTTAGTTTGAAGTTTGCATTACATAACCAATATGAACATGCTTTCTACCTACACAGTTATTGACTGTCTGACCTCAGCTGCTCCTAATTATAGAGTTTACTGCCTCCTGATTGAGCTGCAAACTCCCTAAAAGAGTTCTTAATCTCTACTGAACAGCACTTTGGCTTACTGATTTTAATGCTTAACAAACCTGGCATGCACTGCTGTCAGTGCAATGAAAGGGGCAAAAATGCAGGAATATTTTTGGTACATGTGATATTTTGCACTTAGTAATTTAAAAAAAAGAGGAATATGAAAAAAAATCTGTCAAAGCTTGTTTGATGCCACGTGACGTTTCTAACTTACTAACACTATTCATTGCCCATAAAAGCTACCCTGATGTTTTATTATTTGGAAAAATAATTAATGATTTCTTATGAAATGGAGTGATAATGCACTTAAATTAAATAAATAATATAGTGTTCCCTCTGGTGATTTTAGCCCAGAGAAAAAGAATATTGGATAAATGTTACAAGCCTTACTTGCAACAAGCTCCGGGTAAAAAATCACATTTTGTGAGCCTGGTCTCGACCGCCTGCCTTTCAAGAAATATGAGAAATGTCAGTCGAGGTCAGAGGTCTTTATTTTTACATTAATTTTCACTGGTAAGAATTAATGGGCTGTTTGTCAAACCCCAAGAGGCTGCTTCAGTGAAGTCAGTTAATGCTGATGAACTCTCTAGCATTCCCAGCACATCCTTCCATCAGACAAATGTATGTAACTCATGCAATCCCCGTTAAGTAATAATGATGTTAGCAATGTTCCTTTGCATAATTATCACCTGATATTGTTCAAAACAATTTTAATTTGATTTAGCTGGGGGAGATATTTCTACATGAATAAAGACAAGGAGAGGTGCAGCGTTTAGGCTTTTATGCATGAGCTCTTCTGTTAAAATGTCCCCAAACACAAGGATAATGACGGTATAGAGTTTCTTTTCACAGCTGTGATCCGGATCAAACTTTACTTTTTAGGGCGATTCTGGTTTCTGCCAACTGCTCTGTAGTTATCCTCTGTATTTGTTACATAAATGTTAATGCGATGAACCGCAGAGCCATAATCCTCTTTTGCTTTGTCACCGCAGGTGAAAGCAATCACATCTCTTGTACTCGTAGACATTTGAGTCCCTGAAAGATATGAAGGCGAGAGTTAGTCCAAACACAACATTCAGAAAAATACTGCACCACTCCAAACACGAGTTCATTTCAAAAACTTTTAAGTTTTATTAGAACAGTTAACATTCACCTTCAGTAAGTTTAATAGATTTTCTGACTACAAAAGCGCTGTGTATTTTCTCCTGCGAGTCCCTATTCTGATATATTTGATTTTGTACTACTAATTACACCGTTTGCTACACACAATTACACTTCACCTTTTCTAAACACTTAATCTTAGGACAAAACTTGATTAATTCACAGTTTTTAAATTTGTTGGTAGACTAGCTGGCATTTATTTGGTTTTTAAAAGATAATGCCCAGCGTTCAAAATTCTACAAGGAAAACGAGACAGCAATAACAACATAATTAATTCTACAGAACTACAAAAAAAAATCTCCCTTGTGAACCTGGCACTCTTCCATTTTTATCTGTTCCTGTGTGAAAATGTCATCTCATCCAGGTACAGCACAGCTGCGTCCATTTCCAGAGCCTATACTCAAAATGACAGGTATCTCTTCTGAGGCAATTTCAACTTCAGGAAGAGTTATCATCTTATAACTTTGAGTTGCACTGAATATTGAGCTGTCAGCTAGGTTTTGTGCCCTCTTGGTTGTTGGCTGTAAAAAAAAAACAACAACAAAACTTCATACACAGAAGCTTAGTGATGAGTATATTTCTCATTGTCAGTTCATAAATGACCCTCTGAAAAAGCAAATGGTGTTACGGTATCACTATAACCATGCTTATCTGCAGGACGAGCCTTAGTGGATGTCAAAGTGAGCATCGTGACATTTAGACTGACGCTCTAGTATGACTGAGGGCTCATATAGCAGATCATCCTCTCCAAGAGTTGAACTGTGATCCAAGTTGACAAAGTTAGGGATGTTGAAGTGAGAAAGAAAGGTGCACTCTCTGTCTGTCTTGCTCTGTTCTATTAGTCCAGTAAGCTGTTGGTGGACCCCAGCCTCCTCAAGGTCTTCTTCCATCTCGTCCATCCCAGAGGAGCTGACGCCTCTGTTCCGGTTGAAGGTTCCCTGCTCAGCTCGGGCCACGGTGTGCTTTCCAGCTCTCTTTTCTTCTACTTTTTGCTTTCCGTGACCCTTGTCTTCCTCATTGATGTAGAAATTAAAATATGAACGGGATCCTGCTAGCAACGGACGTGAGAAGGCTTTGTCGTTTTCATCCTGGTGACCATCAATGTCTACCAGACAGCTTCCCGGTCGATGACGCTTTTCAGCCGAGTCTGGGTTACTGTTAAGAAACAAAGAAAGATCCGGAGTGAGATTACAACAGGAGAAGGCTTTAACAATATGAGGCGCTTTTTTGTCATTTTGTGTCCTGAATGGAACATAGAAAAAATAAAGGAGGATTTTTTTTGTTCTCCCTTGCTTTTTTGCTTCTGTGTCTGGAAATGGATTCTTAAAATCACCCAAGCTGAAAAAGGAACGGGGTCGAGCAGGGGTAACTACTTACTCTGCCTTGGTTTAACCACAGAGCTGTATTCAGTCTGACATTATATAAGTGACTTCTCACCAATTTCCAGTTCTGGTTATTATTTTGAAATGGAAAATGTGCCTTTGACAATACGAAGCTCAACGCCAGTTCAAATATCTTTTGTGAAAAGCACAATACAAAATCAGTAAAGAGGCAGTTGAAAAATTACAGGCAAAACATGAACCCTAGACTTATTCACATAATGGTTTGTATTCATTCTGTATTTTTCTTAAGGCTAACTGTTCCCATCCAAACAACACAAGAGGTCACGGATGAGTATGAAAGTGATGTGAATAATATGCTACGGTTTTTGCAGTCATCACATTGTAAAGTAGTTAAACACGTTTTGGAGATTTTGGACCAAAGTGTATAACAAAACACTCCACCACCATCACTGATGGATGATCCGTTGTGGGCCATCCCTGCAGCAGCATTCTCAAAACTAGAGGAATCATTGTCAATGAGCGATGAATTGATGGTGGCCAATCGCTTTAAGTTTATTTATGTTGAGCTTTTTTTATTTGTCACTCATCTATATTTGTATTCAGCATGACATAATTATATTACAATGTCTTACAACATACAGTACTGTGCAAAATGCCCAGCCATCTCTCATTTCTTTATATTTTGCTTTGAAGGAAACAGACCTTGTAATTTTTCTAAAGTGCTCTTGAACTATAGCTCTCTGGGCTTTCTGAAGGTCTTTGATTCAGAAAGCCTGGAGCGCTATAGCTCAAGAGCACCTTTTAATTTCTTTGGATATTAGCTGTTTTTCCAGTCATTTTCAGGCCAGTGCTTGTACCTTCTGTTTTTTTGTTCAGCTACTTTAAACTGACCTATGATTCATTCAAGCATTAGAAGGACCTAAATCAAGACATGTGCCAGTGTTATGTTGACATACAGTTTAGCAAAGAATCTGTTTTAAATTGTACCTTTAGGCCATAGGTGTCAAACTCTGGCCCGCGGGCCAAATTTGGCCCGCAGCCTAATTACATTTGGCCCGCAAAGCCATACAAAATTACTATTAGAGCTGGCCTGCCAGTATTATACAGTGCATGTACTGCTAATACTACAATTCCCAGAATGCTCTGTTGGTGTTTTGGCGCGTCAGTCATGACAGGACCCATTAGCACCCTCTCCTCTGTTGACCATAGTCATAGCAACCATGCAAATACTGCCATGCTACCTATCCCAAAATGGAAAAAAGAAAGGCAGAAAACAGGAGCTTTCTGGACAGGTGGGAGAATATGATGAAAATCTGATAAATGATAAAATTTAATTCAGAAGGCATGTGTGCAATATTAAGTTATATATACGTTTATATAAGTTATATATATTGTTTAGTATTAAGTTTTGCTTGTTCCATATTCAGTTTTTCAGCAAAACTTGTTTGAGTCCATAAGAAAAGATTCCTAGTTATATTTGGAGGAAGATTTTTTTTCAATGAATATTAACGTTAGCCCGCGACTTTGATCCAGTTTTGAATTTTGGCCCACTGTGTATTTGAGTTTGACACCCCTGCTTTCGGCAAATTGTTATTAGCAGCCTGTCACAAACACACAAAATTTGTTCCCATTTCTTTAGTTACATTTTCAAAAATGCCAAAGATAAAGGCATTTTCACCAATAAGGTAAATCCAAATGAACTGTTAGCAGAAAACTAGGCATGTCTTGGCATGGTTTGCAGTGTGACCCTAAAACATGGAGAAGAAACTGGACAAGTGGAGGACAAAAGAAGAAGTGGGAAGCCTAAAAACCAATTTACAGCAGATGAACACTATCTGATGGTCATAGTCTTAGAAAATAGGAAAGAAATCTGGCAAAGAACTGAGATGGGCCGAGTGATACATCTAGCCTGATCCATTTGCTATTAACTGAAGCCTCATTTGACATGATCTCTGTGGAAGGGTGGCTGTCAAGAAGCCACCCTTTCATTGGGAAACAAGGAGGAAATGCTAAAGTATTCCAAATTACACATGAACTGGGCTGAAAATAAATGGCAACAAGTCTTATGGACTGCCGGACTTCAATGTCATTAAAACAGTGTAGGATCATCTTGAGAAAGAATGGCGCAAAAGGCACCCAGCATCCAAAGAAAGGCTTTGGGAAGCCCTTTGAGGAGCCCAGAGAGCTATTCCTGCAGACTGCTTAAATAAATTACCACAAAGCTTGCTTAAGAGAGTTCAGGCTGTGGTGAAGAATTAAGGTGAACATACCAAAAAAATGACTTTCAAGCTCATTAGAATTGTACAGACACTGTTTCTGCATTACAAACTGTATTTATTTCGCACGTTTCAAAAATGTTTACACTATTTCCAGTTTTTCTAGAAAACTTATAAATAATGTGGGGGTGGCTCAAGACTTTTGCACAGTCTACTGTCAGAATAGCATCGCTGAAACTCATCAGCTCACTCTTAGACAGCCACCTAGATGAGAAGTGCTAAGTGCTTATTTCCTTGAGCTCTCCACGGTGATTTAAATGTCCTTGTAGGGTGAAATGTGAAAGTGGAAAGAAACATGGGCTCCAGCCTGCTATTATACCCACTCTTGGTGTGGCGCTCCTGTCTTTGTGAGCAGAGTGAGAACAAAGAACATGAAAATCACGAACACAGCAAGTCCAACCCAAAAGCCGATGACGATGGAGTCTGAAAGGTCAGAGAAGGAAGAATCTTATTAGTACAATTAAAGACTACATTCATCTCTGCTCTTCTCATTTTCTGTGTGTGACTTTTATTCTCAACTGGAAGCCTCACTCTGAGGACAGAATTCTTAATTGTGTTGTAAAGAGTAAAATTTCGTTCGTCTAACATTTGATTAAAGTGACCGAATTGTTTGGCATTACAATTTGGTCTCATTAATTGGCTTGACTATTAGGCTTCCACTGGAGTATAAAACGGCACTACAGGTGCTGCACGAACTAAATCTGCTACACAATGTTGCTGAGAAACAGACAGCGTTCAGCTAAAGCAATAATGCAAGGAGTGAGGGGGACCAAAGGGTGATGAATCATTTAATTAAAAGTGCGCTGGAAGGCATACACATAGGCTACACATAACACAGCCATAGACATAAACACTGCACAATTTAGAAGGAGATCAGAAACAATGGGAAACGTCTTAGTAATGTGTTTGGCTTACATCTGTGCGCTTTGAGTCCCTCGAACGACACGGGCTCTTCGTCGTCATAATATTCATACTGCCACACGTAGTCACTGCGACGTGCGCTTGTTTGGCTCCGGTTGTGGAAGTCGGACATTTCAACCTAATTTTTTTTCGTGATTTAACAGTAGAAGACAAATCAAATCAATCCAGTCAGAACGCCATATGAGTGAGACGCTATAGTATCCAAAACGTTTGCAAACAGGCAATCTCCAGGAATGTTAGATCTTTCTACTGTTGTTGAAAATAAATTCAAAGGCTGGACATTTGGGGAATCCCCCGAACAACTCCTTGAACGATATTTCCGTTAATAACGTAATTACAAAGCGACCAAAATTTGGAAAAAGAGTAGAAAAATCCACCGCGTTACCGTTACGCAAAAACTCTATCCATCCTCGTGTGAGTCCAGTAAGCGAAGCAACAGCCTTTTGGGGGGCTTCTCAGTGCGCATCACCGTTATCCAACAGTCTCTGTACTGGTGTCTCACTTACTCCCGGAGATAAAGAGATTACACTGCAAGATGCTCGTGTCCTCGAACCCATGCCAAGGCATTTGCAGTAGGTAGACTAAATCTACTGAAGACACGTACAAAACTGCCGACTGAAATTCTTCTGTGTACGTCAATCCAGTAGGATTGACCGTTTGGATGAATTAATTTATGTATTTATTTTAAACCAAAGTTGTGTATTTAGATAGATAGGGGAGACCGGAGATAGTTGTAACATTTTTGACATTTCTGTCTGTAAATTGGAGCTCTTTTAAGGTAGTGGATTCAAAATGTAATGCAAAGTATTTACATGTCTCTGCTATTAAATAGTGCAGCTATTTTCTCTGCAGCACAATTACCCATTGCATGGTATGGTCTCAAACACAAGAGTGAAATGTTACAATTAACACCATAGTCTGGGTTAGTTGTAACATATCCTGGGGTGAAATGTAACACAATGAAATAAGGGTACTAACAAAACATTAACATGTAATCTTTGTTTATTCAACACATGAATGCACTTAGAGCCATTTATGTA